AGCATCCATATTATTGCGCTGCACTTTCTACACTCACACGCTCACGTTCCCCACTTTCACGAAGCCACGCTGACCAGCGTGGGGATGGAGGGTCACACAGCCCCCACGGACCGCACGACGTAGGGAGCTGTAGGCCCGGCGCTCGGGCGTCAATGGGATGGGCCCTGCACCACCGATCGTACCTTTAGTTCCCCAACTCCCTCGCCCGGTATGTGGGAGGTCGTGGGTTCAATCCCGACCTTGACGCCTGCTGTTGTATATTTGGAGTTTGCGTGTTTCTTTTCCCGTGGACGCGTGGATTTTTCTCCGTGTCCTCCGGTTTTTCCCTACACGTTTAGAATCAACATCACGCGCTTAGAGTATTTGAACGCTATATATTTCCACGTGATAAGCCACTTCGTTGAGCTATCATTTGTGGCCATGTTGCTTCTGAAAAAAAGCTACGTCGCCCAGTGGGCCTTACTTGGTAAAATAAAACAATTCCTTCATTTAGTATAGTTTAGACTCTCCTGCCTAGCGTTGTGAATCATTTTTTGCAGTGGTTACCCGCCACACAGAAGCTCTGCTACCACTCCGCCCCAGAGATCCGGAGGCAGGGCTAGTGGAGAGACCATCAATCCATGAATAAGCAACACCAGTTCTACTTGGGTCAACTTTTAGCACAGGCCAATATTTGGTGCAGAGGTCACAATGGCTGCATTCGCATTTAAATTGGCAGCACGAAATAAACAAAAAAAACGTTCAATATTTAATGAGCTTGTTAGGAAGGCGCTGCATGGGTGTGTGCGTTGTTTATCGAGAACGAGGTCCTGTCATGGGGAGTGGGACAGCATGGATCTGGAGACTCGAAATGTCAACTGGGATCACTGGTTTGAATAATATAACCAGCACCATCATCATCTGCACTAACACCATCACTACCACCACCACTGGCACCATCATCATCACCATCACTACCAACACAACATCACCATCACTACACTTGCACCATCATGGCTACCAGCAGCAGCATAACCACCACCACCACCACCACAGGTCACTCATATGGTCTTTCAGAAAGGAAATAATGAACTACAAATACAGGCGAGGAGCTGAAGGGAGCCGTGAAATATGTAGAGGAGGGCAGAGGACAGATGAGGTGGCAGCCCAGGAGCAGGTATCAAGGCAGAGCTCCAATAAAAGAAGAGGACAGAAGGAGAAACACATAAACGCGCTGTGTGCAGCACTATGGCATCGATGAGGTCACACAAATACCCGTTATCTGCAGGAATAAAGCTAGGCAAACACATCGGTGAAGCCCCGTGCTGGGACAAGGTTAAATAAAGGGTCAGGGTGTGTCCACACTCGAATGCACATGGGGCAGTGCTCGTCACCATAGGCGTTTTCGATTCTATTGGTAGGAATGGAAGCCATTACTGGCGAAACGTCGTACTCAGATTGTAAATGCTGTGGCTTGGCTCTCCAACACACCGGTGTGCTGTACTAGTAACGAATTGGCACGTTCTGTTTACGTGACAAACCTTTACTAATTGGCCGTGTCGGGTGGTGGCGGGTTTAACGACACATTTATATTTACTCGGTCTAACCCAAAACACCTCTATTATGGATAATATTCGTCGCAATAAACATTGGTAGGAATTCCACATTCCTATGACAAGGGCCAGTTTCTTCAAAGGACACCCAATGCTGACTTCCCACAAAGTGGCACTCGTTTAATCAATCAGTTGAGGATGAAAACGCCGAGTTGACGCACCAGCTGGGATTTGAACTCACAAGTTTCCCTATCGCGAGCTGACTGCTCTGACCACAGAGCCACGTGTGGTTCACTCTTGCACCACCACCACCACCACCACCTTTGACCACAGTTCCACTTGTGGGGACCTCTAGCACCACCACCAGCTTTGACCACAGATACACTTGTGGTTAACTTTGCTATAAAAAATCACGGCGCTCCTCTGCAGATGCCCTCACAGCACAAAAACACACACACACAAGTCACTCGAGTGGTCTCGGGGTTTGGTTGTTTTGGGTCAAGGCTAACCCGGACACAACACCGGCGGGGTCACGATTACAATGAAAACAGACACACGTAGTTATGAGCATCCATGGCGTCACAGTCTCATCCAAACGTCACGAACTGCCCCACCACCGTCATTCGGCAAACACCGCCTCTGCTCCCCGGCAGCTGTGTCGCCGGGGCCGTCATCCCTCACTGAATTTGGTAGACTGCTGTAAGAGAGGAGGCAACGTGCATCGTTGCCAACAGCAGCCGTGGCTAGAAGGGCGATACTGGACGTAATGTGCCAGGTGCGGGAAACATTTTGCGAGTCACCTGCCCGGACAGACCCGGCTGAAACGAAGCTCCCGAGGTGCTGTGATGTGCGTGTGCACGTCCTCCCAGAATGTTCTCTCTATCGGCAACTCTACGAACACGTCTTTGTGCTTTGTCTCTGTAGCGTCTCTCTATCTGTGTCTAAGTCTGTATCCATGCGTGCGTGTGTGTCTCTCTCTCTCATATCTGGTTTGTGTGTGTGTCTTTGTTTTTGTGTCTCTCTCCAAATATATCACTCGTGTGTCTGTCTCAGTATCTGCCTCCCGGGATTATGTCTCTCTCCGTATCTCTCTCTCTGTGTGTGTCTCCGTGTCGGTCTCCCGAGCTTATTCCTCCTATCCGTACAGGACGCAGTGTTCTTGTCTTTGAGTCGAATGCTTACAACCGGCAAAGGGGGTGGAGGCAGTGGCGCTCTTGGTACGCGCACTGCGCTATGAACCCACAAAACCTAAGCTCGATTCCCGGCTAGGGCTGGGTGGTGATGAGTGATACGTGAAACCATCCCAGGCGCCTCCCCCTCCCCACCCCAAAGATAAAGATCCCCCCTATAGCCCGTAACAGACTGTTGAGACTAATGCTGTTAGCGAGTAGCACCAATGAAGGGCCGGCCCGGTACACGAGGGGTGGGATGGTGGGTCGGTGGCCCGACCGCATTTGTCTCCCTAGTGGCAATGTTTACACACCACACCACGTCCTCATTTGAGGCTGAGTCGACCTTCCTTGGGGAGGCCCATGGCGGGTTCAGATAAACCGTCGCCGGTGTTGGCCGTGAGCGGGAATCGAACCCGTGTCCCCCGGGTTCGTAGCGCAGTGCGTGCGCCAGAGGTCGCAACCGGGTACCCGATACCCGTACCCTACCCGATACCCGGCTACCCGTACCCGGCCGGGTACGGGTAGCCGTTTGCGACCCTGGTGCGGCCGGGTACGGGTACGGGTAGGACCGTGAGTCACTGGTGAGTAACCGTTTGTCACTCATTTCGGGTAGGGTACGGGTACGGGTAGGGAACGGGTACCCATTTGCGACCCTGGTGCGGCCGGGTACGGGTACGGAATCAAAACCCGTTTGCGACCTCTGGTGTGCGCTCTTAATCGCCACTTCACCAACCTGCACTGCCCACCAGCGTTCGATCAAACAACGCAACGGGTTCATCAACCCCTTCTCGATCACAAAAGGTTCAGTACGGCCGAGGTTCATAGAGGACACGCCAAGGCACCTTCAGGATTTCTTCTGATTCGGTGCTCACAACAGAACATAGACCGAGGCACGCTTGCGATGATTTCGTGTTCGCCGTCACTAACTGAGATTCAATGAAACTTCCGCAACATTGAATGGCATTCTGAGGGTCCGGTGTCAATAACTGAGGCTCACAGAGCCAGACAAAGGCACCTTCCGGTTTGTTGTTATGATTATTGGGATTCAATGTTTAGGCTCGTGCACACTTAAGCCATTGGAAGCAGCAGGCTCCGAAAATAGCTCCAGCCCTGGCCAGCAATGCACCACCGCTGCTGTGTTTGTTGCCAGAAGATTGTTTTTACGCTACAGGGGAAGGCCCCCAAATTGCGACATCGGAGACGCGCGCTCGTGCGTGCGTGTGTGCGTGTGTGTGTACAACCTGGGGAATCTGTTCTCTTACAAACATAAACAACAACAGCAGCAGCAGCAGCGACAGAGTGGCAATCAGCAACAGCGCAAACGGCAGCACGAACAGCAGCAGCAGCAACAATGAAAGATTACTGAGCAGCAGCAGCAGCAAGCATCATTGGGCAACATCAGCATCGACCACAACGGAAGAAGAAGCATAAAAATCCCAGCGGGTCATAATCGAAGCCAGTAACAGCAGCAAGCAATGGCTACATTAGCAATGGCAAAGGTAGCAAGCAAGCTCCAGCCACGTCAAAACAGCCTCTGCATGGACGGTGGCAGCCACAGGAATCAGTTGTGGTGGCAGGAAGAACGCCAACACCGGCAGGAGCCATATCACGGCAGCGGCAGCGGCGGCGACAACAATAGCCGCAACACCTGGGCAGATCCATGAACGCAGCGATGTCTAGCGCAACAACAGCCGTGTCGCCGAGATCACCAGCAAACACACAGCGACAGAATCAATCGTCGAGCAGAAGTAATGCCAGCAGAAGCGACAGCGACAGCAGCAGCGACGGCTCACACGGACACCACCACCAGTAACAGCTGCCTCAACAGCCGTAGCGGGGAAGAGCCCAGCGCTGGTGTCGATCCGTTGCCCCTTGGAGCCAATTATTCCGGAGTGTCCCTTACACCCTCGGCTATCCAAACGTCCCCGTGACCACCTCCCCCACCCCCCCACTAGCATCCTCCCTCGCCCGACGATCCCGCCGATGAGACCCTCCGGCGTACACAGGCATCTCCCGTGCGGCGTGCACGATCTGCGTGCACCACCCCGCACACACCGTGTACACACACGCGCCACGTATGATGCTCCTGTGTGTCTCATTGCACCCCCCCCTCAATGGTACCCAATGCTCCCCGCGCAGCGTATCAATTGCCGCAATGCCCCGGTGTGTACATGGCTATTCACGCATTTCGTGCTCAGTGTTCCCACGACATCATCTAGCAGTGTCGGGGGGGGGGGGGGGTACGACCCCGTGTGGCACAATGCCCCCCCCCCCCGCCCCCCTCGTGTGCCCTCACCTCTTCGCGGCTACGTCGTCATCGGGAGAGATGCGGGATTCGCTCCGTCCATCTTCCGCGTGCCCCCGCTCGCCTTCGGCCGTCGCTCCGCTCACCGCCTTGCCCGCTTATCAGCCCGTCGGCCCGTCTGCGGGACCCCTTATCCGCACTGCGCGGTCCGTTCGCCTGCTTGCCTGCCCCCCCCCCCCTCCTTCAGCCCTCCTCGTCCGCCCGACCAGCCGCCTGTACGTGTCCAGCGATCGGCCGGTCCGCCCGTCTCCCCCCCCCCCCCTTGTTGATCTGCTCGCCTCTTCCGTTCGTCCGTCCGTCCGCGCGCACGAATATGTCTTCTCGTTTGGCAGCGCCCGCACGCTCCCTCGCACGCACGCCGATGTATTGGCCGGGATCTGAGCTACGCGCGGTGCCTCTGTCCACCGGTGTCTCTCTCTCTCTGTCTCTCGTTCTCTCTGTCTCGCTGTCTCGCTCTCTCTGTCTCTCGCTCTCTCTCTGTCTCTCGTGTCCCGTCTCCTCCTCCTCCTCCGCCGCCGCGTCTCTCGGCTTCGTGACGTCTCCGTGCCCGGGGCGTCACGCGCGGGTCGTGACGCCCCGCGCGTGACGCGGGTGCTGTGCTCGCTGAGCCAAACGGCGCTGGGGGGGGAGGGGGGGAGAGACAAAGGCGGCCGGGCGTGGGGACTCGAGGCGCTGCCGGGGTTTTTTTTGTGCTCGCTGAGCCATACGGTGCTGGAGGTGGGGGGGGGGAGGGGGGAGAGACAAAGGTGGCCGGGCGTGGGGGCTCGAGGTGCGGGGCCTTTTTGTGCTCGCTGCGTCCCGGCAGGTTTAGGGGTTAAAGTCCCCTGACCGTCTTCCTGTTATCCGCTAAATTGTGAATAACAGGAATTGTGGATAACAAGATGCCCCTGTTATGTGTATAGTTGGGAGGCAGGGCTTAATTTTTATCCCGGGTCGGTGACCCGGACGAAAAAAAAATAGTCCGCACTCGGCATACCACATCCAGTATGCCACCCACCACCACCTGCTCAAGTCGACGAACATTTGAAGTGGGAGATGGATCCCTGGCGACACGGCTGTTGAGGCAGAGGCGGTGTGTTTGCCAATGACGGTAGGTGCGACTCGTTGTTTTCACACTGCTTCTGCAATACCAAGAGCAGTTCCTCATGACATTTGATTTGTGAACATTGCATTTTATTTCTCTGTTACGCCCTGGGCGATCGAGGGGAGCGGGGGGGGGGGCGCCGTGGTGGCGAGATGTTATCTCCCTCGCCTGGTATACAGGATGTCCTGGGTTCGATCCCGACACGGACGCCTGCTGCGTATTTGGAATTTGCATGTTCTCCCCGTGGTCGCGTGGATTTTTCTCCGGATCCTCCCGGTTTCCCCCCAGACATTTAGAATCAACATCACGCGTTCCGAGTATTTGGCTGTGAGAAATGTCCACATGATAAGCCACTTGGTTGAGCTATCAGTTGTGGACAGATCGCTTCTGTAAAAAGAGCTCGTGGGCATTACCTGCTAAAGTAAAACATATTTCAGTTTTTAAATAGATCGTAACTCATCATGATCTTGCCATGTGTTGCGTTCGGGTTCGCCAATCCCAAGACCACTCGAACGACTTGAGTGTGGTGTGGTGTGGGTGTGTGAGGGCCATCCGCACAGGAGCGCGTGTTCAAGTGTTTCCGAGCACGACAGATGATGGGTCTTTTGTGCGTTGGTGAAGGCGTGGAGATAAGACACGGGAGCCTAGACGTACAGTGCAAACAATGGATCCATAATAAGTTTCAAACTGACTGCAGGAATTACTCTTTGGTTCTTTCGGTAAAGTCACGGAGAAAGAAAAAATAAATTGAATAATAGCATACGACGTTTCGATTGCAACACAAGCAATCATAATCAGGTACAAATGAAAGAGAAAACAAACTTCGTAAACTTAGAAATCTAATTCTTGGATCTTTCGGTAAAGTCACGTAGGAGGGAAATAATAAAATAATAAAAATAAAACAATTAAATTCTCACGACGTTTCGGCCACAACACAAGCAGCCGTCCTCAGGTGAAGAAAAGAGCTGTCGGAAAGACAGCGTCCTAATGAACGCTGAAAGAAAGATCCAAGAATATGAATCCCTGCAGTCACGAAAGCTTTAAATCGAAATTTAGAAATATAATGCAATACAATACAGAGAGTCGGCTAACATAATAGTCAACACCCTACCTGCTTGATTACGTTCTTCCAAAGATTGCTAAATTTGAGAGAGAGACAAAACACAGACACAGAGACACAAAGACACATAAGCAGAGAGAGAGAGAGACAACACAGAGACACACACACAGAGAGAGACGCACACTGGCACACAGAAAAACAACGCCTCTGTGTCGAGGCCTTAAATAGAGAGAGAGGGGGCCAGAGAGAGAGGGAGGTAGAGAAATTAGCATGTCAACGAGATATTTGGAGCTTTCGTGACTGCAGGAAATACTAGAGCAATAACACAGAGAGAGAGAAAACACACTTAATCAAACAAACTTAGTAAAATTTGTAAATGTAATGCAATGCAACACAGAGAGTCGGTCAACACACAATTAACACATTGCCTGGTTGATTACGTTCTTCCAAAGATTGCTAAATTAGAAGATAAGTGTGACATTTTTTGCTTTTCTGTGTGCCTATGTGTGCGTCTCTCTCTCTGTGTCTCTGTGTTATTTCTCTCTGCTTATGTGTCTATGTGTCTCCGTGTCTGTGTTTTGTCTCTCTCTCAAATTTAGCAATCTTTGGAAGAACGTAATCAACCAGGTAGGGTGTTGACTGTTATGTTAGCCGACTCTCTGTATTGTATTGCATTATATTTATACGTTTACTAGGTTTGTTTTCGCTTTCATTCGTACCTGATTATGATTGTTTGTGTTGCAATCGAAACGTCGTATGCAATTATTTAATTATTATTTTCTTTCTACGTGACTTTACCGAAAGAACCAAAGCAATAATGCGTTTCGCCAGCAATTGCAACTCGCTTTACAAATCTGGCCGTCGCCTGATGAAGCTAGTCGTCCTCAGATGGTAAATGCTGTGGCTTGGCTCTCCAACACACACCGGTGAGTGCTGTACTAGTATACTACACTACAATACACTATACACTACACTATACACTGCACTACTATACACTACACTACACACCAGTGCTGTACTAGTGAGGAATTGGCCACGTTCTGTTGACGTGACGACCCTTACTAATTGGCTGTGTCGGGTGGTGGCGGGTTTAACGACACATTCATACATTAACGCGATCTAACCCCAAAAAAACCCTCTGTTCCGGATGATATTGGTCGCGAAAGCTGGCTACGTGTACAACAATGGATGTTGCCGCTGGAGCAGCGATCGTCACGTCCACCCCAGCCACGGCGCTCACCCTGCCACTCACTGTGTTCACAAACGTTGAGATTTTGTCGAATCTTCACCGACCCCGAGTTGCTACAACCGCCTACGAGCTGTGTGGATATCCGTCAGAGCAACTCGGCTCGGTGGAAATCGTGGGATAGGTGTGCGAATGCACGAAATGTCGCTTCATTTGAATGCATCGCATTGCGGCCACGAACCCAGCCGCGCTGCGCGGAGTAAAAAAAAACCTCGCCATCAGCCACGATTGATCTACTGCTGGATGAAGGTATCCCCTAGCCGTCGCCATCCTTTACGGTCTTGCGATGTCGGAAAAGGAAGAAAAAAAACCGTATCTACCTAGCACCTCCTGCCCACGAGCCGATTCCATCGCTCCATCTCCGCGGTGGATGTGCCGAGATGGTGGTTCACTGCATCAGCGCGCACTTTCAGATGCGCTTCTGTGACCGTCTGGATAGCTCTTCCTCTCGATACTGCATTAAGAACCCACTGGAGCTAAGCACTTTTAAATCGTCTCGATTGAAAACAAATTGATTTAAAACTGCGTTTTGTGTTCAGTTTGTTGTCCTTCCCCCGCACCTCCGATTGGCACGGTTGGCTACGTAAGGTGTGAAAGAAGTTCAACATCCATAGCTTTCTCTATTGAAGTTTGCACTCCGTAGTTATTATCGCCCGTCACGTGTCCTTGAACCAACCCACATCTGACACTCAGTAACTCACACGGGCGGACCAGTCATAGAACTGTAGTTGAATTGATCTTGATTTGAAGCTTTCGTGACTGCAGGAATCCATACTCTTTGGTTCTTTCGGTAAAGTCACGTGGGTATAAAATACAATATTTTAAAATATTTTTTTATAAATAATAATTTTTTTATTTTAAAATAAAATACACTTTTATTTTAGTTTAAAGTAAAATTTTAAAATACTATTTTATTTTAAAATAACATTTTATTTTATTTTAAAAGAAAATTATACTTTATTTTATACCTACGTGACTTTACCGAAATAACCAAATGGTATTTAGTGGCATGGTTGGACATTATCGCCACTACTCATAGCCGGCAGTACTAGCTTGTGTCAATAGGGGGCGGAAGAGTGACAGATCCCAGCGTCCAAGGACTACAGCCCAAGGGACCAACGGTAACCCCTTTATGGGATAGCGGATCCAGGGACCCAGACCCCAGGAGGGGGCTGGGGGATGACGTCACCATCCCAGGACCTTCTGGAAGGTTCTAGAATATGAATCCTTGCAGTCACGAAAGCTTCAAATCTAAAACCACACGGGACTTTGTTTCATTCGGTCCGCCATTTCGAAACAAAATGTGCACACTACTGTGCTGCATCTCAGCTTAAAAAGGGCATAATTGGAATAGGCGACGTTTCGGGCACTGCTCCTATTTCCAGAGCACCATTGCTCGATCTGTGACATGGAGGACCATTTCCTAAAACGTCGCCTAAATATATTAAGTCCCACAATGTATAAACAACTCATCAATTGCCGAACAAACCCTTCACAGGTAGCGGACCGCAGAGCTTTGCGAAATTAACGTATTGGCGGTAACACCGGTGATGCACGCGATATAAACAAAAACACCTTCTTGCGCAATGATGATTTATTTTCCTGCGATTCACAACCGCGGTCAGGAAAATCTTGCGGGGTGCGTCAACATCACTTCTCGTGATGTTGAAGGCAGTCGGAAGAAGAACGTTATGAGCGGCCGAACAAGAAAAATCACACGATAGCACCCAGCCTGATGACCCTTGGCTCCGTGTTCCAAAGGCAAGATTTGACTCCTCGTGCCTTAGACTTGATCGGACGGTTCCTCGATTTATTTCCGGAATCATTTCTCGGCGAACGGTGACATCAAAAGATTACGAACTCGTGGCGTCACACGTTCGAATGGGAAATCGGCTGCTGAATCCCAGTGGAACTTCTCATGGAGGAGTCCTGCAGCTCGCTCAAGGGGCAACAGCGACATCGTCAGACCTTTACGAGGTCTGGTGTGTTGTTTTGCTGCACCGGTGTGGTAACCGCTAATATTGGTGCGCGCTGGCTTGCCACTTTGGCTGCTGCCTTCCACGCTCCATCTGTGTAGTTTCCCATTCTCGTCACCCCCCCCCCCCCCACCACTATCTCTTTACGAGAGTGAGCGACTCCTGTGTGACCGTTACACGTTGACATTATAAATACGCGATGTTCTTACGCGTGCGATTCCATCCACGGTGCGTCGCTGGCGTAAGAACTGAACGTCGAGTGCATCTTTGCGCCGCTGCTGTTGTCTACACGCACGAGGTGGGTGCATTGCGTTTAACAGCGCCCTCTGTCGGTCGCGAAACATGCAAATTACAGCGTCAAAATATTCACCGTTGGATGAGAGTTGTTAGCGAGCACTTATTAAAGTACCCAGTGCCGCATTGTCCTAGTGGAAAAAGTAGCTACGTATCCTACGGGCCCCGCACTTTCAAGGGCCCCGTGCTAAATTATTTCAAGCTATCAATTCCGGTTCAGTAATTCCGCACTTGCTCTATTACTATAGTACTATACTGCCTTCAACTTTTATGAACGACTGGGCGTTTAAGGTGAGAGATTTGTCGTATTATCTGGCTGTATAACAAATTAAAAAAATTAATTACTTTAGTATGTAAGTAAAAAAAAAAATGTGTTTTATATTTGTGTTTTTTTATGTAATGCCCCTTAATAACATCAGGCTACAAGTCCCGCACCGATCTCAATCCGCCACTGGAAGTACCTATAACAGGGCGCTCGACGGCGTGGGGCGGTCGAGCGCCACATTCGGCCGCTCTATGCCTCCTGGGGTGCCGCTAGCGAGCGCCTGTTAAGAAAGCGATGGTGTTCATATTCTTAGGTTTTTTTCGGTAAAGTCACGTAGATAAAAAAAATAGAATTAAAAAAAGTGGAGTAAAAATCACGTTTCGGAGGCAACACAAGCTTCCGCCTTCAGGTGGAACCGTCACAGCACGATTGCTGTATCAAGCTATCGTGCTGTGCCTCCGAAACGTTGTGATTTTTACTGTACTTTCATTAATTTTATTTTTTATCTACGTGACTTTACCGAAAAAACCTAAGAATATGAATCCTTGCAGTCACGAAAGCTTCAAATCTAGAAAAAGCGATGGTGCACAAATATGAAATCACACATAGACCCCTCCCACCACCCACCGCCAATCCCCCATCTCACCTTGCCCGCCGATGTCAAACGCTCCTCCACAATCATCTTTTGTCCGTGGGAAAACATTCCGACTCCTGCAGATCCCCCCTAGATATTGGCACACGCCGGGGAGACCCCCCCCCCCCCGCTCCCCACGTGTACAGCAGCGAGACGGATGGATGGCGTGGGGGGCCGTGAGACGACCAAGATTCTGGCTGCCCCCCCCCACCCTTGCTGCTTGTATTAATTTCTGTCTGGAATGTTGCAGGGCCAGCCCATTCCAGGTGGGGGGGGACGCCACTCCGCCGTTTGCCACGCGGCTGATTTTGTCTCGCTGCTCATTGCTTGCTGTGAAGCTCACGGTCGGCACGCGGTGAGGTGGTGGGGGGCGTCTGTGGCGACGCCAGTAGGCACTTGCAGGCACGCTGCAGCCGTGGAGTCGAGGTGTCTACTCCCTCCTCCTCCTCCCCGCTCCCGTTTGGTTTCACTCCTGCAGCAACCCCGCTGCTGCTGCTGCTATTTGTTGCATTCAATTTAATCCCAGGTCTCCCTTGAAAAAAATAGAATTGTGGTCTTAGCGGGCTTTATGTATGTTGAACTTCTTTCGCGCCGTACGTAGCCCACCGTGCTAAATCGGAGGTGCTTTAAATGGTATACACGAATCGACACAAGCCCTGGGAGCAATGGCTGCACTTAACCAGTGGTGGAAAGTCCACATTGTTTAGGGCGATGTCAAGTTCATCCGTGCATCATCCATCGAGAGGACACGCACTGCCAATTTTCACTTCCCATATAGTAGTGCTCACCGCACGGATCACCGTCAAGCGGTCACACGCTTACACACACACAGGATGGAATCGGTAGCACAGTGTGGGTTGACATGGGAACTGTTCACAGGAATTAATTGGAGCGCCTTGTCCAGTCTCCTCCCCATTTGTTGCCCGGGGCCTGGGACTATCCGTCCCATGAGCTCCTGATGGCAGTTGTACCGCCGGCACACTCGATCGCTAACCGCCACTAGTGGTTCCATTCACACCAGGGACAATGGTTTTCACGTTATATAACGAACACGAAAGCGACACCACGCATTGTCCTGAAGGTGGCTGGTCGCCCAAAACGTCGTGACTTTCTTGCCAACTTGTCGAGACACTGCTCGTTTTTTTTATTTGTTACAGGACCAAACTGTGAAACTTATTGTGCGTCAAGACGGGGGGAGGGAGGAGGGATAAGAAGTGAGTGCATGCGTGAGACACGTGTGTGTGTGCATACACATTGCGTGTATGTTGAAGTTCGTCAACACCGTACGTAGCCAACAGTGTTCATCGGAGGTGCGATCGTGTGTGGCACCACAGCAAAGCAGTGGTCATTAGGAGGGGGGGGGGGGGTGATGGATCATCTAGAGATTCACAGGCGCTAACATACTTGACTGACCCTCCAGATTTAAGCGGCAGGCTTGTCGATGTTCAAACCGTTTTCACCGCATATGAATTTTCAAAGCAGTAGTTGCTACAATTTTTCTTCTGCACAATGTTGAGATAGAGCGGTGCGATTAGCTCTGAAGCTCCTTATAGGGGGGAGGGGGGGGGGGGTCGCAGGATAAAACAAAATCATCGGCAGCTTATCGCTTCGGCCATCGGTAAGGTTGGCAGGTTATCCAAACACACCTGCTGGGGGGGGGGGGGGGGGCTGCGAGGTGGGCACAAAAGAACGGCAGCAGAACAAGTGGGGTTCGCGAACCCGCCGCCTTGGGGGTTTCTCTTGGGCTCTACGATTTATATTTCACGCGAAGCAAAACACTCATTAATAAAGTCATTAAAAAAAGAAATAATTATCCAAACAGCCCATTGCAGCAAGACCCCCCGGAAAAAGAGCTTTGGGACTCATGCTTTCCTGAAGAAAGCAAATTATTATAATTATTATTATACTTTTAATAGTGCGGGGATGTGTATACTTTGACATGTGGCACCGACAGCTTGAATGCACACAGCATGGATCACGTGTGTATACATATGCATGTATATGTTTATATACACATTATATGTATATACAGTGCCATAGTATGTGTACGTATGCCAATACACATCTAGGTCTATATACATATATATTTATAAAGTGACTATAGTCTATACAATAGAATACAGTATACGCATACATATGTATACGCACATGAACGCATACTGTGTGCGACATATTATATATGCTATTCTGCGCGTGTGCATAAACGCCTAATATGCACGTGTATGCAATGCATCAATGGTTATCTGACAAATCTGTCTACTAAAAATGAACCGTCTGCAGAAATCAGGAGTTTAAAAAGCACCCCCAAACTCAATGATAACAACAGCAACAACATGAACAGGACAATCACGAAACACATCTTAACAACCCTAACTCAAGTGGATCCATTTAAAAAAAACACTACATAAGACTTTAAATAATGATTTAAAAAAAAGACAGAATAGTCCCTGATCCATCCATGAACGACAATGATAATAATAAGTCACTTGTGCAGAATGTCACCAATACAAATTGCTGCCTTGGGCAAATGAACTACGTGGACACGCGTTCAAACACATGCTCATGATGATACACGTTCAAAAACAAGAGCACCGAGCAGCTGAACGAGATCGTCGTGATTTCAGCCGAACTGGTCACTGAGATCGCGGCCTGTCCATCAGCGATGTCCAGCTGGGCGGCACGACTGGCAAGAGCATTCGAACGGTGAACCCCATGGGTCGGGGAGTTCAAAGTTCAAACCTGGGCCGAGGTCGACCCGGCACTCCGCATTACCCAGAGGGCTCGATGGATGACTTGACGAGAGATTAACAGCAATTGTGTTTACGGATGGACTGGCCTCCACCACGGGAATATGGAATTTCCACCACTGGCTCCGAGCTGCAAGCCTTAAGGTGAGAGACCGCCCCACCGTTCCGTTGAGCGTGGGAGACCTTCGTTATTCGCGTATTGACCGCGGGACAAAAGCTGCTCGAACCGTTTGCGTGCTCTTGGCAGACATCGGTACACCACGGTCGCTGCAGGTCTCTGAAATTTGAACGATCACCCGTCGGCCAAAATGTGAATCGTGGTTGAGCTTTGGCGAATGCAAGAAGTGTTCTTTTTGTTGTTGTTGTTGTAAAAGTTCCAACGGAGGTGATCGCGGGGCGACGGCTTACCCGCAAGTTGCCACGCCGTGGCAAACGTGAACACAAAACGGTGAGTGTGCAGGAGAAAAATCAAAACCGCGATTCGCGACGGCACGCAACGCCGGGCCGCCACGCTCGTGACGCGAGCGCATCGCGGATGAAACTGCCTGGTGCGTACAAGCCCCTCTCCTCTCATCTCGGCGCGCACGAATACCGCAAGGCTCGGCCAAAGAACCCTTCGAGAATGTGACATTACAAAAGCAAACACGGACTCAAGCGCATTCCTGTTTCAATATAATCGCTCTCAGTAATATATTACTATTTTCATCGTCATTTTCGTCATCACGTGATATAATTAATACAGAAATATGGGGGGGGCTTCAAAACAAGCCTAACATTAGATAGGTGTGGCTTTTCTATTGACTCGTTCTCAATATTTTTTGACCACTCCCTTACGTATACTGTATGACAATGTCTGCTGCGAACGGCATCACAGCAACACTCCAAACACTTTCTGTCCATCCACTGGTTGCGTCTCCGCAGGGAGTGAGGCGGGAAGAGGGAGGTGGATGGAGTTCATCAACTCCTCCCTGCCTCCCAGAGGGAGCCGAGGTACAGGGTCAGGGGTCAGGGGCCGGTTCAGCTGGGGTGTGATCTCTGAAGTCCGGATCTCCATGGATTCCCCACTGCCACTGCCCACAACAACCCCAGCAACGCAACGTGGAGGCCCTGCATGCACCATCAGCAGCAGCAAAGCCATTACCACCACCACCACTATCACCATCATTATCAAAATCACCACCACCACCAAGGCTATCACCACCATCACCACTGCCTGAACCATCACTATCATCATCACCACCACCACTACCAGAACAATCAAAACCACCACCACTATACCAGTGCCAACAGCGGCACAAATAGTCCAAAAGAGACGTCCAAGTAGATTTGGAATGAGAGAAACAGAACGGTGTCATTCATCATCGCGATCGCAGTGGTTCATTCACTTTAACGGTAATTATTGAATTTTAAACATTACTCTTGTATGGGACAGTGTCTTTCTAACTGACACTCGGGGGAGGTTGAGGTGGAAAATCCATGCGTGAGCGAGTGGGCAAGTGGCACGTTAAAGCACAAATCCGATTTGCAGCCAAGCCAAAAAAGAAGAACCCCTTCACACCAGACCGTGCAGTCGGTCACAGAACAGACCAACGCGACCCCATTACAAAACCACCCCCCCCCCTCCAGGAGCACACCGTACAGCAGCTACAAAATAAAACAACACCGAGCCACATTCTCGCCTCGCGATGGACAAAGCATAATCTTCTTTGTTTTTCTTTCAATTGAAAAGAAAACGACAATTTAAATGGGCAGGAAGAAATGTTTGCCGGTGAGACTTCCTTTTCTGGCTTCTTCAGTGCTCGTCGCGATGGGCGACCCAACCCGACCGTTTGCGGTTCATCCCCAACCCCCAAGGCCCGACAGGGAGGCCCTCTCTGCAATGTGGAGGGGGAGTCACGTGGTCCACCGTGGTGGTTGTTGCCGCGGCCTGGCGACGTTGCCGCCATGGCACAGATCCCTTCCAGCGCGCGTCCGTCCGTCCGTGTGGCACAAGCATGGCATCGCCGGCCGATCTGCCGTCCTGCGATATGAACGCTTTTAACAAAAAAATTATAAAATTAAAAAAACCTAATCAGAGGAACCATCCGTGCTGCCTCATGCTGAAACGCGCAGAATGGGGAAGGTGACTGCCGGCGACGGTGGACGTGGCGGCGGCGGCCTGTGAACGCGCGGCCGGCCGATCGTGGTCTCCTCATGCTTGGCCAGTCAAGTTCGTTCGAGGCCGACAAGCCGGCAGCCGACCGGGCTGAAGTCCACTTCGCTCCGCACGCTGGCACCTGGCGTGATGCACGCTGGCACCTGGCGTGATGCACGCTAAACGAGGGCGTGATCGTCGTGGTCGGGGGTGGGGAGTGTTCGTGTTCATTGTTCCGCATGTCACCGTCGGCGGCACGTTGCGCCGTACACTGCCGGATCGAGGCGTGCCGAGGGCACGCTGCGCTCTGGCGGGATGTCACTCGCCGTGCCGGCGTAACGCGTATACGTGCGTATACTCGCGCACCGCAGGGGTGGCTCGCCGCGCCCGCGTCACATGTTGTAGGCGACGTAGATGGGATCCAGCTGGTCGGCCAGGAAGCCATCCCGCAGGTGCATGCGCTGTTTCTCCCCGCGCGAGTTGATCGGGATGACGCCCACGTCCACCACGACCACCACGCCCACCTGCGCCACACGCGGCCCCCCGGGAGGCAGCCGGCAACCGTCATACGAGGAGTGTCGTGGTGGAGGTGTCGCGCTGTGGGTTCTGTCATGTGATACGCGTGGCGGAGTGCTGCGTGTAATTTGTACGACGTGCGGCCGTTGTTGTGCGTGCCCGCACACCGGTCTGCGGCGGTGTGGCGGTTGTTGTTGAAATGAGCGATGGGAGAACGGATGAGGCTGCCTGGGGAGCGGGGCACGGTGCCACGTGGCGTGTGGCGTGGTACACATGGTGTGCCACACGTGGATTAAACTAAAAAATATAGATCCACTGAGCTATATAGCTCTTTGTCAGAAGCAACCTGGACACAAATGATAGCTCAACGAAGTGGCTTAGAATGTGCAAATGTATCGCACTTCTAAATGTGGAGGGAAAGACCAGAGCACCCGGAGAAAAATCCACGTGACCACGGGGAGAACACGTAGACTCCAAATTAACTAGCATCAGGGTTGGGATCGAAACTATCACCACCTGTATACCAGGAGAGGTAGTTAACATTTCGCCACCGTGGATTGCCATTATGGTGCCGTGTGGTGCCGTGTGGTGCGGTGTGGTGCGGTGTGGTGCGGTGGGGTGCGGTGTGGTGCGGTGTGGTGCGGTGTGGCGTGCTGCGCTCCACCCACCAGGAGGTGGTGTTCCTCCAGCGCTGTCCCCGTCACCAGCGGCACCAGATCCAGCGCCTCCTGCTCCGAGCCGTCGAGCTCCACCACGACCACCAGCAGGTTCGTCCACGTGAACACCGCACTGCAACCACCACCAGGAATATTTGCGCGTGTGAACACCACGCTGAGACAGCGCGACAGACAAGTGTGTTCGCGGTGTCGCGTTAGAGGTCAGGGGATTGGGAGTGGGTCGGAGTATTTCGATTGGAGAAGAAGGCGCCGCTGGCAGTGGCTGCCGTACCACTCGGCGATGTTCCTGTGGGCGCGCAGCACCGAGATCTCGATGTCGATGGGGTGGTAGCGCATCCCGCGCAGCTCCATCGTCTCGTCTAGCGAACCCACCACGTACAGCGCATCGTGCCTCTCTGCACACACACACACACACAAAAACAAAGGTCCCCCGTGTACCCTTAACAAACTGTTGGGGCAAGTGCTGTTAGCGAGCAGCACCTATGAAGGCCAGCACGGCACACGAAGGAGTGTGTGGCAAGCACCACGCCCGGCTGCCTTTGTCTCCCCAGTGGTGATGTTTACACACAGCACCGGGTACTCATTTTAGGCTGAGTCGACCTAGGGGAGGCCCATGACCGGTTCAGATAATCGTCACCGGTGTTGACTGTGAGCAGGAATCGAACTCGGGTCGCGGGGTTCGTAGCGCAGCGCGCTTACCGCTACGCTGCCGCTCCCCACTATGCGAAGTGACACATCCACACACACACAGACAGCCTGTGAGTTCGTGCGTTCAAGGCAAGAGGTGACAGTTGGGTGCGTGAGAAGACAGGGAGATGTACAATTCGATTCGAATTAATGTGGCCTCCATAAGTCAAAGCCGATTCAAATGCTGAATAAAATAGTTCAACTTTGAAGCTACAAGACCAGCGTAAGCGTCGGCCAACATAACCTCTAGAGCAGCGGGTCCCAACCTGTGATCCCGCAGTCCACGGGAGCTCCGCAAGGCCATGGCAAGGGGTCCGCGGGACCCACACAGATCCCATTTCCGATCACAGAACACTGGAACGTTCACTACGCGAAGGTCGAGGATATGTTGGGAACCACTGCTCCTGAGGAAGCAACAGTGGAGTGAGAGCAGGCGATGGTAGGGCTGTCCCTTCGTTAACTCTTTTTCGTTCAGAGATGCCTGCAAGTTGCAGGGTGGGTGTCCCGTTCACCGCTGAATCGTCACTGACACTGCACAGATTGTCAAAACGCAAATTTAGAGTGGCCCACGTCAATCCCTTCTAGTTTGGAAGCGGCACGTGACGGAGTTTACACTTACGCGGAACATTAAACACATTTTCTTTCATATTCACACACAAACAAACAAATGTGTTCTTCGTTAGCCTTTGTATGCAGCACTCGCTAAGTCTAAACTTTAGTTTTTACCTGGTAAAGGCCCACTGAGCTGTTAACTCTTTTAAGAAGCGACCTGGCTACAAATGATAGCTCAACAAAGTGGTTTATCACGTGGGAATGGATCGCAGGCAAATACTATAAATGCATTTTAATTATAATTTGTGGAGGGAAAAACCGGAGGATCCGGAGAAAAATCCACGCGACCACGGGGAGAACATGCAAACTCCAGATAAACAGGCGTCAGGGTCGGGATCTAACCCACGACCTCCTCCATACCGGGCGAGAGAGTTAACATCTCACCACCGTGGTGCCTGTTAGGTGACTAGCACCTATGAAGGTGCTAGTCAGCAACTATGAAGGTCGGAATGGCACACAGGAGGTGTTGTGGCCAGGACCATGCCCAGCTGCCTTTGTCTCCCCAGTGCTGATGTTTAACCACCACATCTGGCACTCGTTAATGCTGAATTTACCTAGGCGAGGTCCAGGATAGGTTCAAATATTCGCCATTGTTATTGGTCGCGAGTGGCAATCGAACGCTGGTCGCCGGGTATGGAACGCAGTGCGCTAAACCACGACACTATTGCTCTCACACATACAATTATACACACAATCACAAATTCACATGGAAAGTACACACAGCGCCAAATATCCCCCGTATAACCTTAACAGACTGTTCGAGCAAGTGCTGTTAGTGAGCACCTATGAAGGCCGGCACGGTACACGAGGGGGTGGGTGGCCAGCACCACGCCCACGAACTTAGCACGGTTGGCTATGCGCGGTGTGAAAGAAGTTCATCATACATACACTGATACGCAAACACGCGCACATACAGACACACAAACAACAACGGCAGCTGCCATTTGTCGCTAAGCGGCGGTGACATCACCACAACCCCCAGTGCCAAGAACGGCGGACAGCAGGGCCACAAGAATTGGCACCGCGTCTCTGGCAGGTGGTCACGGCGCAGACAATGAGTTGACGCAAAGCATCGCCCTACTGGTCAACAGTTAGCAAAGGAGGATATGTTTTGTATGCTGGCAACTGGGTAAGGTAATAATACATCCTGAAATGCCTTTTGAAAAGAGGTGATGCTGTTGCATGTGTTTCATTGGGGTCATTTAATTTCCTGTTTCAATAAATATTACGGGAAAAAAAACCAAATACAAGACGCTGTTGAAAACTCACACAAGCACGCACACACACACACATTCTGGCATGCACACACCCTTCTGCAGATACACGTGCGCACACACATGCACAGGCTCCAGGATGCACACACGCACGAACGTTCGCGTGCACCCTTCAGCATGGACACGCTCGCGCACGCTCTAGGGCGCACCAGGAGGGTTAGTCAGCACCACCGTACCAGGTACTCATTTTGAGGCTGAGTCTATTTAGGGGAGGCCCAGGATGGTTCAGATAATCATCGCTAGTGTGAGCGTAAATTAAACTCGGGTCGTCAGGTTAGGGTGAGGATGCACAAAGACAAAGACCTCCTGTATAGCATTAACAGACTGTTGGGGCAAGTGCTGTTCGCCAGCACCTATGAAGGCCTGGCACGGCACACACACACACACACATTCTGACACGCACGCACACAGGGCAAACATTCAGCAATAAACGAATGCACACGCAGGGCTTTTCTTATCGCGTCTCGTGGTGACAAAGATAAATATCACAAAACGAAGGTCGTCTTTAGACAGACATTTCCTGAGAAATACCATGACAGCAGCCATCTACCACGCTCGTACCCGACCAATCAGATAAGGTAGATGCTGACAGAAACACCCGGCGTGCAGATCTCTATTAACCCTTTCCCACTCGGAGACATCTGCAAGTTGCAGGGTCGGTGCCGTTCACCGCTGAATTTCAGAATGCGTGAGCGGTTAGCGTTCATTTTATTTACAGGCATAGCGCAGTTATGTTTTTTAAGACATTGTGCTGTGCTCCCCGCAGAAAACTGTAGTGACATGACCGCACTCTATGATAGCTGGCGCAAAGCGGTGGCACATGCCCTCCCGCATGGCCTTGTACTGATAAGTCTCTATCCAAAATGAAAGAACCTCTCAAAATGAATTAACGGTGGCAACGTGTGGAAATTGCACAAACTGAGGCTTGCACGGGTACATGCGCACGCACAAACAAGGACATTCAGAGGCACAAGACAATGATTTCTCCGTATTGCCTATGACTCTTGGGGCAAGTGCTGTTCGTGGGTGGCCAACAGCACGCCTGGCCGCCTTTGTCTCCCCAACGCTGATGTCAACACCATACCAGGTACTCATTTGAGGCTGAGTCAACCTAGGGGAGGCCCAGTGGACCGGTTCAGATATTTGAACTCGGGTCGCGCGGGTTCGTGGCGCGGTGCGCATTAACCGCTACGCCGGCGCTGTCGGCAGACGTACCCCCGCTGGCGTCGGTGAGCTCGGTACGGCGCAGGAAGCCCAGGTAGCCGGTGCGCGCCCACACGGTCTGCGTGTCGCCAAAGCTGAGGCGCGCGCTGAAGTGGTCGGAGTGCAGCGGCTCGTCCCCGTACAGCGTGTAGTACCCGCTCGCGTTGTGCGGGCTGCTCACCCAGATCTGCCTCGCGCGTGCGTAAAAACAAAGACAAAGATCCCCCATATAGCCTTCACAGACTGTTGGGGCAAGTGCAGCGAGCACCTATGAAGGCTGGTACTGGTACACACACACACACATTCTGAAACGATTGCACACAGGGCAAACATTCAGCAGGAAAATAATGCACACACAGGAGCGTTTCTTATCGAGTCTCAGTGGTGACAAAGAGAAATATCACAAAATGGTCGACTTAAGACAGACATTTCCTGCAAAACCCCATGACAGCGATATGGCGATGTTTACACACCGCACCAGGTACTTCATTTGAGGCTGAGCCAAACTAGGGGATGCCCAGGACCGGTTTAGATAATCGTGATTGGTGTTGTATTATCATTTCAATCTTTTAGCCCTAGATTTACAAAATAGGTATACATTTTATACTTGGTAATAATAATTTTAATATTACAAAATTTACTTAATAAGGAGTTTAATGACAAAAGACAATAATGAAGATTAACTTTAGGGCTACTTGAACGCTTCCGTGGGCTGCTTCTACTCTCAGGCAGATCTCAGAATCAGAAGAATATTTATTTTTACCCACCCCCCCGTGACTTTTTGCAAGGAGGGGGTGGGTGAGGTGGGGGTGCTTCAGGCTGTGGCATGAATACCGCACATTTTTATCTCTTATTTTTAGGTCATTTTATTTTTTACCGACGTGACTTTACCGAAAGAACCAAAGATATGAGACAAATGCTTTCCCGAACACCACGTTCATTGGAGACGTGGACATGTGATCTCCCTGTGGCCTTAGTAACCTTGTGGTTTTGGGGCTCAATGGGGTGGGGGGGTGGGCGGCAGGGACCGATGGTCTTGATTGAAGGGCCGCCATACCAAAAAGTTTGAGACCCACCGGTGTTAACAAAGATCCCCAACATAATCGTACGGGGCAAGTGCTGTTAGCGAGCATATATTAAGGCCGGTACGTCGATTGGGGAGATGGTGTGGCTAGCATCACGCCACTACCTCCTCATTTACCGTGCCGGGCTAAATACACACACACTGTTTAGTTTGTTGTCCTCCCCCGCACGGTTGGCTACGTACGGTGCAAAAGAAGTTCAACATGCATATATACACATATATAAGTACACAAAACGCACCGCACATAAAGCGCATGACCCAAAGCAGGCACCCAAGAAATGGCAAGCGCGTTATACCACACATTAAGGGGCCATCAATTTAGTACGTACGCATGGAGGGGGGAGGGGGGGGTTAACGCAAATGAGTACGCTTGCGTATGGGGGATCTACTGACAATGTGAAGCCTCGATAATAATTTGTCTACATTGGCCTTCAAATGAGTTAGATAGTCTGGCAGTGTGGACTGTCTGTTTGCTTCAACACGTTGATATGATTAATCCTTGATCGTTTCTGCGTGGATTAAATATCGGCCGTTCTATAGGATTCGGGGGGGGGGGGGGTGCGTCAAGCGTACGTACGCAGGCGGGGGGGGGGGTTGTAAAAAGTACGCGTGCGTACAAGGAGGGGGGGAGGGGTCAAGTTTTGACAGATTTCTGCGTACGTACTAAATAGATGTTTTCGACTTACGTACTAAATGGATGGCCCCTAACGCAGGATGACCCAGAACCTGCAATCGCCGTCATCAAGGCCTCAACCGCCCATTCTCTCTCCACTGCCGCGGTGAAGGCGTTGCGTACCTCCCCGAGGTGCGAGTCTCCGAGCGGGCCCTTGTTCTCCGGGTTGACGATGATCACGCGCACACCCGGCAGGATCTGTCAATGGCAACAGTCATCTTGTTTTCACCGTCGGGAGCATTGGCAACGGAATCGAGACAGCCACCACGTGCAGGCGCGACGGGGCTGAGTGGTACGTGGCTAGCGGAGGGCTCACGGAGCTCAACTCCCTTAAAGCTATTCACCGGCAAGCATTCAACACAGCCCATACGGTAAAACCTCCAGAAGGCAAATTCTCGGGAGCGCTAGCAGAGCGTGTGATAGAGGCATTCAGTGGATCTGGGCACTAGGGCGTGTACCCTTGCCGATTGCCCTGGCAGCTGTGAACTCAACCTTGGGCTCGATTTGCTGATGCAAGCCTTGGCCTACACTCAAAGGCCTTGCGCTTTGGCCTGCTGTAGTAATTCTTGACCTTTTAAAATCCTCGGCCTAGGTTTCCTCTCAGAAGCCTCATGCATAATCAGGCCTACTATTATTCATCACTAAGGTCCCTTTGCGCCTTTCAAGCCTTACCTTGCCAGACTCCATGAGTGGTAAACTATGTGGCGATCCCCTCTCCACCAACCGCACCCTGCCGAGCAAAAAAACACAACACGTGGAGGTCAGAGGTGACTGTTGGCATGCCGCAATTCGTTTTTTTTGTCGTGTTGAGGTTGTCGTGCGTTCACGTGATTTCACATCCATTGCGGTGGGGCCACTGTACGGCCTCAATATTAGCATATGTTGGCCTCGATATAGGTCCAATAACCCTAATGGCGATGCACCAAATAACTCAAAATGGAAACGAGGAATCACAACACGGTGACAATATAAACGGGGCATGGCTTGGCACGGCACAACTTGACAGCACGCCACATTGCCAAGGCGACATTTTCGAGAACAAACAGCGATGGTGGCTTTATTAGAGTGGGACTTGCAGGGCCTCACCTGTCATGGCGGAGTGCGCGCATGTCCACGTAAACCGTTGTGGGGTCCGGTCCAGCCGTGCCCTGCATCAGCACAGCAGTGCACGACGAACGTATATACACATGTACACACACGCGCGCATGTATGCACGGACACAAATACGTACAGTGTAATTGCACAGCTATTTAGACTGCTCGGGCAAGTCCTGATAGCGAGCACCTGTGAAGGCCGGCACTGCGCAGAAAGGATGACGTGGCCAGCATAACGGACTGGCCGCCATTGTCTCCACAGTGTTGATGTTTACATACTGCACCAGGTACTCATTTCAAGCTGAGTCGACCTAAGTGCATGCAATCTTGGAAATGGTGGTAAAAACATGTGAGATTGGTTGCGTCCTGTACCAGCCTCACACGTGATCAGCCTTCTTTCTTAAAGAGGCATTTGCAATGCCTTCTGGTTCAGTATATCCAGCATTGTATGGACAGCTGAAAGGGGATATTTTTCGTAAAACGTTCAAGTTGGTCACTGGATAATTTGGGTTTTGGAAGATGATTTTGACTTCCACAACTATGAAAAGATTATGACACTATCTCATTACCATACACAAATTGAGGAAAAATAAAACTCCGTGGAAGCACTAAATCGAGCGAATAACTTTGGATGTGGTTGTGCGGTATTATGATGAATGCGATAAAAAATAAAATTTAATCTCAGATGCCTCCGCAGGTTCCAATTTGGCCACAACTCACGAATCGCAGGGGAAATTTTCAGCAGGGTCCGGTGCACATTCATGAATTCACATGGAGCGGCAATTTCATTCGTCGCTGGAGCAAGCCATTGCACATTCCCCCGTGAATTTGTTTTTATCCCGATTCTCCTATTGGCACCACGTCACGAAGTGAAGGATCCAAACAAAACTCTTGCAGAGCAGTGAGACCCCTCAGGCTGGGGAGCTGCCCACAGAAGCAAATATCGCATAACTACTTTTTAAATCTCTTTCCCACTCACCCCGCCAAACATAAATGATTATTCTCAGAGCTTGTTTTTTTGTGGGCCAATTTATAACCACATTTATATATAACTCACTGCACTTGAGAAGCTGGTCTAGTCACAGGTGGCTGCGTGGATTGGAATCCAGGATCTCAGCGGTACCAGCTCAGTGTCTTTGAGCCACCAGGCTTGGCTCTCCTTCGTGGATTGGAAAAGTTCTGAACCGTCTCCAGCGATGAATGCCGATGCACGCTCAAGCGGCGTTCACGCTCGCGAGGATTTCACCGACCACAGGCGGGGCCCCCCACCACCGTTTAGCAATCATATGGTGGGGGGGGGGGGAGCGAGGGGGGCCAGGGTCACGAGGTGGGGACGCAGTGGAGGGGGTAGGAAGGCGGAGGATTACGGCAGCTGTTAGCAGCTCTCACCGCCGCGCACACAGCCTGCCGCACACAACAAACGCACAAACGCACATAAGCAGCATGGCTGGTGTATGTCACTGAACCAGGCGTGGCCATGTAGCCCAAAGTGCACCCAGCCTGGAGAGAATGAAACGGAGCACCTCCACCCAGCATGGGGATCGCGATAGCAAGGCGAGCAGCTGATTTGTTGCGCCCATGATTGATCATGCCCACGATTGATTGGACGGGAAAAGAAAGAGAGGGGGGAGCAGCGGAATAAATGTTGGCCAAGTGAGGGGGCGACAGGATAGACACAGAAGCAGGATGGCAGGGGACGGGAGGGGAGTCAAGAGTTGGTCAACTTAAAACCGTACCTGCTCTGCCAACTTCCCCAGTCTGTGAGGCTATAAGCAGGAGGCAAGGAAAGGGAGGGAGGGGGGAGCAGGGTGGGGGGGGCGGTGGGGAGGGAGGAATGGGGGTGGTTAGTGGAGGATAAAGGGGAATGGGACATGGGCATGGCGTGAGGTGGACAGCGGGTGGCGTCGCCGAGTTTTATCCGTGGCGTTTAAAAAGTGTGGTGTAGAAAACGTAATGGGTTTGGTTTCGTTTGCCAGTCCACATGGGTGGGCGCAGGAGACACACACACACACGTGTGGAAGTGGAGGAATGATGGGAATGCACGTTTGCTCAAACGTCAATCGATGGGCGGTAAGATGTATGATGGAGAAACAAAAATAAAACAACAATAAACACAACACGTCATGGTACACTTAACGATGAAAGATGAGGTCGGTTTGATTGTAAAACCACCAAGAAGGAAAAAGGTTATGTTTAAAAATGTACGTGTGACAGAGAGAGAGATTGGGATGGGGAGAGACAAGAGAGATATTGGGGGGGGGGGGGGGATGAGGTGGCAATGTGCATGGAAAGAGGATTGGGGCATTTGCAAGCCAGGGAGAAAAATGGAGAAGAGAGAAATAAGTCAAACACTTGAAACACGGACGGCTTGGAAGCAGTCGGGGGCCGGGGTGAACCCCTCACGGCCTCCGTCGTGCGAGTCACAGGCCGAGGCGTCGGGAAAATTCTGCCCCAGTGACGGCAAAATCCTTGGCCCGGCGACAGAAATAAACCCCTGAGCCCAGCTTGCCTCCCCGAGAGCAACTCGTCTGGGCTTCTGGAGATTTCACAGAAGTCAACAAAACGGAAAACCTAACCCGACCCGCTCGTCTTCATTGTTTGTGTGCGTAATTGTAAAAAACAGGTAGCATGCAAGCGTGCGCGCGCGATTTGAAGAGCGCGGTGTTGAAAAGGGTCAACCCGGACTAATGTTCATCTCACGGCGAGACCCCACGGCACGCGCCAATTTTCCCGACCCGCCCATTGCTGCTGTCGCGGGGCTTGTTAAATCCTTTATATTAAGTTCGCTTGCTTGCTTAGGACCGTGCAAATCTTTCAGTCGTTTTTTAACCCACTTCCCGTGATCCAATCGAGCTGACATTTTCCACACAGACTCGTTGTGCGTGACAATTCATGTTCGTGAACATTTTTTTCCAAAATGTTACACTTTTTAGGACAAAAATATTCTATTTAATTACCAATTGCTTAATGGTGCAATGCAATCATCTGACCCATAGGTGGCAGCCATCTCAAGACAGAGGACTCTAGCCGCCACGCATATAAAGGATTTATAGTGAAAAACTTTGTTTTTACGGGTTATACTTATTTAGCCCTGCCTCACGAAGCTGGTCAAGTGCGCAGGATCAGTTGGATATCACTCGCCACTGGTGTTAGCCGTGGCTGGGAAATAAAACCTCAGGTCGGTGTGTTTACAGCACAGTCCATTAACCAATGCACCAACACCCCCACCTCACATTTCAGTGTTGAATAGAATTTGCGCGCCGCCAATGTTAAGGAGCTACTCCCGTCAATATTTATGATCGCCCCATTTCCACAAACTCTTGCCCGGCTAAAACAGATCTCTAACGCAGCAGCATCTCTATTTTTAATGCGCGTTCTCAGCACAAGCCTCGATGTGCAGTTGCCAAAAGTCGTTTTCTCAAGCGTATGCCACGAACCGGTAAAGTGATATAAAAATATCATCGCATCCAAAACCGCGTGTAACAAAGCCAGACAAAAAGGATGAATACAAAATCATACACAAGAATACACAAGAGATGAGGTCAGAGGTGAGGTGCTTGCAGACTCCCGGTGACGCGCGTGCGAAAAAATTGATCGAGAGCAATCAGAATCCTTATCCATCCTGGAGGAATCCGATGAGTTATGAAGCTCTTTTCCCACAGATGTCCAGTAGGGGCACGGGGTCACCTTACATTGAGGTGCAGAAAGGGGAGCGAGATGGCGACATCAACTCAAATCACAGGACCAGGCTCTCCCCTCACGCCGCTCAGTTCGGCTTCAGCCGAGGAGACCACGGGGAGCAGTGGGGGCGGGCGGGCGGGGGTGGGGGTGGGGGGGGTCCTGGAGGGGACCCTGAAGGTGGGGGTGGCCCTAGCCGCCTTTGGATGGCGGGGGGCCCGGGCAGGGCGCGCGTGGGCGACGGCTCCCGTACCTGCAGGCACACGGCGAGGTTGACGCGGCAGCCGAAGGCGGTGCTGATGGCACGCGGGTGGAGGCCCAGGTCCTTGAAGAGCTTTGAGAACGACTGAGTGAGGGCGATGCGGGGCCGCTCCTCGGCCACCACCACGCACGTGCGCACGCGCGACAGGTCCACGCCGCGTGCCTGCACATGCCACAACAAACGCGCAAATCCCCCGTATAGCCTTTAACAGACGCTTGGGGCAAGTGCTGTTAGCGAGTAGCACCTATGAAGGTCGCCACGGCACGTGAGGGAGTGGGTGGCCAACACCACGCCCGGCCGCTTTTGTCTCCTTAATGGCGATGTTTACACATCGTACCAGATACTCATTTGAGGCTGAGTCGACCTAGTTGAGGCCCAGGACCGGTTCAGATAATCGTCACTGGTGTTGGCAGTGAGCGGGAATCGAACCCGGGTCGCCAGGTTCGTAGCGCAGCGCACTAACCGCTACACTGCCGCTCCCCACAACGATACACACACATCAACAGCCACGATCTATCCACTGATGGACAAATCAATTCCCAAGACGTTTCCATCTCTCACGGGTTTTGATGCAATAAAACCATCTAGCTTCTACACATGAGTTGATGTTGTAACTCCATCTCCGAGGAAGGCGTTCTCTCCGGTGTGTTTCCTCCTTTGGTTCCCACTTCACCGTTATTGTCGACCACTTCCAGCACTTTTAGCGATGCGTCGGGCCCAAGCCCAATGACTTTCTTAACAGTCAATGTGACGCCTCTAACTTGCGTGTGTTCACCGGTCCACGTGTTCCCCTTTTGTCTCTTGGCGCAATTCGAAGCGCGCATTTGTTGCACACTTCTTAGTCAATGTCCACGTATCATCTCACACGCACGGGCACGTGAAACACAAGAGGACGGAACGGCGGCAAGATCCGCCGAAAACCTGACCTTCAGGGCCTCGGTCTGCGCGCCCAGGCCTCGCGTGCACAGCTCCATGGCGGAGTATGAGCAGAAGGTGTCGCGCACGCGGTACTGGCTCACGGCCGACAGCCACAGCGACACATTCCCCTCCAGCTCCGACGGCGGGATCAGGATCGACTGGTGGCCCGAGTACACGCTGCACGCACGCACACACGCGCGCACGTACGTACACACGTGCCGTCACAGCGAGCCGGCGACCGGGCAAACGCGACTCAGGCGAGCGTCGTCGACGCGGAGTGTGTGCGTTGAACTTCTTTCGCTCCGCACGTAGCCAACCGCGCTAATCGGAAGGTGCGTATTACAGTGGCAACGGGCGGCGCACGCCGCGGGAGCACGGACCTGCTGATGCACCAGAGCACGAAGCCCAGGCCGCAGTAGGGGTCGAGGCAGACGGCGACCTCGCGCGACGGGTACAGCTCGCACTGCAGCTTCATGGAGCGGCACAGCGCGCTCGTGGCCGCGTGCGACATCTGGGAGGCGCGCACGCGGACACGCATGCGCGGCAAACGCACAGACGGCACACGCAGACACGCACGCAGCCCGTGATTGCACGCCCCCCAAGGCAGACAGGCGTAGCCGTGAGCGAACGCCTATTCAGGCTGTCACGGCACAGCAGGGCACGGTTTAGCCAGCGCCACAATCCAGTACTGTTAACCAGCCACGGTGGCGAGATGTTAACTACCTCGCCTGGTAAGACAGGAGGTCATGGGTTTGATCCCGACCCTGACACCTACTATATATTTGGAGTTTGTATGTCTCTTTCCCACGTGGTCACGGAGATTTTTTATCCGGGTCCTCCGGTTTTTCCCTCCACATTTAGAATCAACATCACCCGTTTAGAGTGTTTGGTTGCCATCAACTTCCACGTGATCAGCCACTTCGTTGGGCTATCTTTTGTGGCCGGGATCGCTTCTGAAAAAGAGCCACATAGCTCAGTGAAACCTTACATAGTAAAATAAAAAGAGTCTACAGTTTTTAGTTTAATCCACGTGTGGCACACCATGTGTACAACGCCACGTGGCACCGTGCCCCACTCCCCAAGCAGCCTCATCCGTTCTCCCATCGCTCGTTTCAACAAAAACCGAACGCACGCACGCACCTTGACGCCAGCGAGCATGCCCGTGGTGGAGACGCTGAAGTCGAGGTAGGCCAGGGCGTCTGCGCTGCCCAGCGACACGATTTGTGGCGGCCGCTTCCTGGGCAGGTCGTCTGCACGCGCAAACATCCCACGGGCAGCCTCACGCACTGTGCGCATGGAACGCTGTCGACTGCCTTTGTCTTAACGGTGCTCGTTTACAAGACGCCACTGAGGTACGCATTTTAGGCCGAGTTGACCTAGGGGAGTCCCATGACAAGGTCGAATTCATCTCGCCGGTGTTATCCACGTGTTTGCGAACCGCGCACACATTTCACCGCGATGATCCCGCAGCGATCATATCTAAGTCGTATATATAGAAGTTTTCACAACTCTTAGATGAAAAGCCTCCCGTGAGAGATCAGTTGCCTTCATCACTGTCACTCATCTTCAATTTCACACCGAATCTCAAGGTGCGGCGCTCACACCCACGTGCCCGAGGGTGTTCTATGACAAAATGTGACAAGACTTACGTACGATTTCTTCTGTATGTGTGCGTGCGTTCTTGCACGTGTGAACGCGTGTTCGTGAGATTGTGCGTGCGCGTGAGTGTGTATGTGCGAGCGTGTCAGCACGTGTACTTGAAGCGCACATCGCCTGACACAAGCGCCGTGGTGATGTCACTGCCACTTAGTGGCGAATGGCGGTTGTTGCTGCTGTCAGCGCGTGTTTCAACGAATGTGTGAGTGAGCGAGCGAGTGAGTGAATGAGCGGGCGAGTGAGAGAGACAGCAAGCAAGCGAGTGAGTAAGCGAGTGAACGAGCGAGTGAGCAAGCAAGTAAGCGGGTGAGACAGAGCGAGCGAATGAGTGAGCGCATGAGCGGGAGAGCGAGCGAGTGAGTAAGCGAGCGAGAGAGAGAGCGAGTAAGTGAAGCGAGTGAGCGAGAGAGAGCGAGCGAGTGAGTAAGCGAGCGAGAAAGAGAAGCGAATGAGTGAGAGAGCGAGCGAGTGAGTAAGCGAGCGAGAGAGAGAGCGAGTGAGTGAAGCGAGTGAGCGAGAGAGAGAGAGCGAGTGAGTGAGCGAGCAGTCGTACCGGTGTCCAGCATGGGGGGCCACGTCTTCATGTCGACGGTGCCGCTCGCGTCTTTGGAGCGAAGCAGCTTCATGACGGTCTGCGTGGTGAGCACGCACACTGCTCGGCTCACCTGACCCCCCCGGGACCACGGAGGTCACGGCACCACAGGAGACAAAACACAGAGAGCGGTCAGGTTGCCGTTCTATAGATAGTCCCAGCCGGACGTGGAATCTTTCAATTAGGTAGAATTTCAATCGATCCATTATTTCCAGTTCAGTGTGAAGCAGATACATCAATTATGATGTTGTATTTGTGATAACTCATTCATTATATGTGGGATTTTGAGTTCCAGTGGAAGAAGGAAGAGGTAGAGGCGAAGTGATGGGTCAACTCAGATTTCACCCAGGCGGTGAGAACTCAAGAGACCAGGACGTGAGTCTCATTTGCAAGTGGCCTGGGTCACCAAAAATGACAAAAATTTATATGTAAAAAATACAACAACAATGAAGCAAATGGAAATCAGAGTAAACGCTACCAAACAGAGCCAGGGCAAAGGTAATCAAGGTTTTTTGGGTTAGATCGCGTAAATATGAATGTGTCCTTCACACACAACCACCCGAGGAAGCCAATTAGTAAGGCTTGTCACGTAAACAAAATGTGCCAATTAGTTACTACTGCAGCACCACCGGTGTGTTGGAGAGTAAACCCACATTTACAATTTGAGTACGACGTTTCACTAACGATTACGACCAGCCTCATCAGGCGATTTGCCACAATTGTGAACAAGTCCTCCTGTTTGGGTCTCAAATAGAGTAAGAAGATTAAATCAACGTGTGCCTATCAAGTGCGAAAGTAAAAGGGGAGTTAATGTCATCGCATGAATTATATTTACGCGACTTAACCCAAAAACCTTCTGCATGAACATAAATATGACGTAAAATCAATTCCCTGTAATGAAAGTTGGCTCTCACAAGTGGATTGAGGGTGATTATGGACCTGGTATGGAGGAGGCTCGTGAAGGACGCTACTACTGGTCAGTTGCAGGCAGTCGCCCTCCGACAACAACGGAGGGCAGAGAAGCGACTCTCGCAACAATGAGCGGAGCTCCTGGCGGCTAGAAATGCAGCAAGTTGGCATAATAGGGGGCACAGGTGGTGCATCGGTCAGTCATCTCAGTCAGTCAGTGAACCTATAGCCCCTGGGTCTGTCCCCTGAAATCCTGTCAGCGAGCTTTCGACACTTCACGTGGCCTCAATGTGCACCTGGCCTGGCACAGGCGCCGTGGTGAGATCACTGTCACTTAGTGGCGAATGGCGGGTCTTGGCATTGGTGTGTATAAGCAGGTGAGGGTGTACGGCAAACACCTCGATGATCATCTTGACGGTGGGGAGGGTGCTGGGGATGTTGTGGGGGTGAGGGGGCCGCACGGTCACAGGAACGCAGCCCAGGAAGAGGCAGCCGTAGAACGCCACGATCAGGTCGATGCCTGCGGTCACGTGCACACATGCAAATACACGCACACACGCACACAGCTAGGGTCAGCAGCTTTACACCAACACACGCGTGCGAGTGTGAGCATACGTGTGCTTGCAAGTGTGTGGGGAGCGGGAGTGTAGCGTTAGCGCGCTGCGCTACAAACCCAAAGACCCGGGTTCGATTCCGGCTCACGGCCAATACCAGTGATGATTATCGTAACCGGTTCTGGGCCTCCCCTAGGTCGACTCAGCTTCAGATGATTACCTGGCACGGTGTGTAAACATCGGTACTTGGGAGACAAAGGCGGCCGGGCGTGGTGCTGGCCACCCACCCCTCATAGGTGCTCGCTAACAGCACTTGCCCATACTGTCTGCTAAGGCTGTACGGGGGATTGTTTGTGGTATTATGCCATGAACTTGGCGACCCGAGTTCTATTCTTGCTCACGACCAATAACAGTGGCGAATATTTGCAACCCGTCCTGGGCCTCCCCTCAGTCGACTCAGCCTTAAATGACTACCTGGTGCGGTGTGTAAATAACAGCAATGTCGAGTGAAATTCGGCCGAGTTAGGTGCTGGCTGCACCGCGCCCACGTGTGCCTTGCTGCTCGCTAACAACAGCACTTGCCCCAACAGTCTGTTCAGGCTAGACGGGGGATCTTTGCCTTTGCGTGCGAGTACCGGGCGGGTAGACGAGGGCCACGTGGTCGCCCGGGTTGAGCCGTCCCCTCTCGGCCATCGCGGCCGCCACGCGCTCCGCTCGCCGCTGCAGCTGCACGCACGTGACGGCACTCGCGACGGCGCCCTGTGGGAAGACACCGGGGTGGGGGGCACAGGGGGGCAAGGGGGGCAGGCACAGGGGTCATTGGGAGCGTGGGGAAGCTGTCGGTGGGTTGTCCCACCCAGAATTCAGGCTCCTGCCGAGGTTGACTCCTCATCGCCGTCGTCGTCAATGTCATCATCATCATCTACGACACTTACATTATTGAAATTACGTAGGTGTAGTGGATGATGACCACCATTATCATCCCCATCAATGCTGTCGTGATAATCAATATCTATATCCCAACGTGGGGAAAAAAAAACTACAATGTTGATACCATAGATAAGATTGGCCCCCGCCATAAGAGCGTGGAGTTTCCATCACCAGCTCGTTGTGTTTGAGCAGAGACTCATTGACAGAATGGCGATTCTTTCCGTCTGCGTTTTTCGACGTCTCCATCACCAACATTTGTCTCCATTGATGCCATGAGCTTGAACGTTACAGCTCGCAAATGGAAGTTCACACACGTTGGGTAATTGTAAATAATCCAAACCACAACAACAACAACAGCAAGTGATCCGCAATGTTGCAACAACAACATGAGCACGTTGGGTGCGGACCGACGCGTCGGCACGCGTCACGCGTGTGCTCGCACGCGCGTCGTACCCGTGCGTTGAGCAGAATGAAGAGCGTGTGGTCGGGCGTGCTCTGTGCCCGCCACTGCAGCAGCTCGGCGACGAACAGGTTCTGTGGACACGGCGGAGAGACACGTGGAGAAGCCGAGCAGCGGGGTGAGCGAGCGAGCGAGGGAACACTCTTCGCTTTCCGGGCACACGCGCTCATTATGAGAATTATGGGCGATGTACTACTACAGCACTACTATTTTAAATCCTTTATATTAAGTTCACTTGCTTGCTTGCTTGCGCACTTACGACCGTGCAAATCTTTCGGTCGTTTTTTAACACACTTCCCGTGATCCAATAGAGCTGACATTTTGCACACAGACTCGTTGTGCGTGACAATTAATTTTCGTGAAATTTTTTTCCCAAAATTTTACACTTTTTAGGATTTTTTTTTTTATATTTAATTACCGATTGCTTAATGGAGGCAGGCAATCATCTGACCCATAGGTGGCAGCTATCTCAAGCCAGAGGACGAGAGGACTCTAGCCGCCACGCATAAAAAGGATTTATAGTGAAAAACTTTGTTTTTACGGGTTAATTTTTTATGTTACGAGGTAAGGCCCAAATAACCTGGAATGCAGCTTTGAGCCTGTTCTAGGCTGCTGCTGCAGAGTTAGGTGATGGGCAGCAGAGGGCCGTGCAGCGAAAACAAACGGACTCTATCTCTCTGCTCTAACATCGATGCTCAACCGCCATTCACCACCCTGCCCGCACTGACCGGTGTGACGAAGTATGGTCAAATAATCCCCACAAACAGCACAGCGTGGGGAAGCCCTCATCCAGCAACGGACCACCAGAAGTGCCGTACTCGTGTGTGAGCCGTCGTACACTGTGGAAGACTGCGTTGTCGCAGCCTGATGGTTGCAACGGCAAGGTCAGCGGCTCTGGGCCCTATGTATGTACAGTATGTTGAACTTCTTTCGCACCATACGTAGCCAACCATGCTAAGAGGAGGTGCGTTTTTGCCAGACCTCCTGTAGAGTAGCGAGTTGCAATAATCGAACCTTGTCGATGCTCTGCTGCACGTCACCACGTTGCCTACAACACGACTCAATAGTGGTCGAATGTGTCGTAGAGCCCTAAAATAAAAAAACTGCAGGACTCGACTATATTTTTGCACGTGGTGATCCAACGACATGAGACGGTAACGTGGCCACGGCAATGTGGAACGTGCAGAGTGCCGGCACCTTCTTTGCGTGTTCGCTGTCGTCCAGAGGCCCAACGTCTCGCCCGCTCGCTTGCGCAATCCGCTTCCCGGCCACCAGGTTCCCAACCATCACGGAGGCGGGCCCCACCTCTGCACGAGCGCACACGAGGGGCCACCCACATACGGACGCCCAGCCCCACGTTCAGCCCTCCTTGCATGCAGGGAGGTGCATTTCATATGCAGACTCTCACGGCCAGCATTACCATTCACATTTGAGTTTCTTTCGGGTCGGATCACCGTGAAGGTCTGATGCCAAATCTTAACTGTAACCGCCCTTCCAACCAATCGATTCAAGTTGTCACGTGGGCAAATATGCACATTTATTTGGTTTCATCAGCATATAAATTGGCATACGTTGACAATTTTTATTTTACCTTTTTCTGGAGATTAGATCCAGCATCATAAACTGTTACGAGCTCAGCTTAACACGGAGCATTACAATTGAAAACAGAAGCGGGTGCAATTGGTTGCTCATTTTTGTGCTGTCAGCATCATGCCATGCGAAAAAGCGTCCATTCCAATTCCTCGCAGAGCGGTACAGCCCCACCAATGTCAGAGACCGGCCGAGAGAAGCAGATCTCACAGAGCTACCTCCCAGATCCTTTTGCCTGTGACCTTGCCCGCACAGCAGAGGGCGCACTTTCCCATCCGATCTGCCATGTGAGAACAGTAATAGCCAAACCGAAATATTTTTTAATTCTCAGAGATGGAAATTGGCTAAATTAATTGCAGAACCAAATTTTTCTGTGCGGCCGTTGACGACCTGGCTGAGACCATCAACATGCACACGTGTACACAAAAGCACACACGAAGACAAAGATCCCCCGTACAGCCTTAACAAACTGTTTGGGCAAGTGCTGTTAGCGAGCATCGATGAAGACCGGCACGGCACACAAGGGGGTAGGAGTCCAGCACCACGCACGGCCGCCTTTGTCTCCCCAGTGTCGATGTTTACAAATCTGAGTCGACCTCGGCAAGGCCCAGGACCGGTTCAGATAATCGTCACTAGTGTTGGTGGCCGTAAGCGGGAGTCTAACTCGGGTCATCGGGTCCGTAGCAAAGTGCGCTAACCGCTGTACTATCGCTCCCTAAGCATGCAAGCACGCACACACGCACGGGCACCTGGCTGCTTCTGCCGCGGCTTGGGCAGGTTGGTGACACAGGTGTGGGGGCACATGAGCACGTTGCAGGGGTGTAGGGCCCCCTCGAGGAAGCGCTGGCGCGTCTCCGACAGGTGGATTCCGCCCAGCGGCGTCTTGGGCAGCGTGTTGGCCGGCACCAGCGCCAGGCAGTACACGCCCGTCTGGTGGATGCTGTCGATGGCCTGGGAGGGGGGGGCAGATAGGGGGGGTAATTTGGAGGGGTGGGGAGGGGAGGGATGCAGCATGGAAGAGGTGTGAGAGGGGGGGTCAGGACGAGGGAGGAGGCAGTGCGGAGCAGAGCGAGAGAGATAAGAGTGAGGGACGAGGAGGAGGTCACGAGTGAAATCAATAAACCGATGCCTTTCATTTAACCTCGTGATACTCCACTGAGATTTGTTATCTGTTCGTCAAAGAACGCTTCGGGTAGCTACGGCCACGCAAGGAGGAGCTTTATGAATTATCACAACTTTAATGGCTGGGCAATTAAAAAAATGCGCAGCGGGGGGTGGGAAGGGTGTCAATTGCGACGGCAGGCGACTTCCGGCTGCGTCGGCGCCAACGGCGTTGCGGGGGCGTTTCACGATGGCCACGTTGGGGGCCACAGGCATCGATCGGCGACCCCGCGAAGGTCACGCAGCCCGCCGAGCCGTGGCGGCTGGCAGGTTGCCTCGTTAGCGGCTAACGAGGCGGGCGGGCGAGCGGGCGGGCGAGCGGGCGAGCGGGCGCTGTACCTGCAGCACGCGGCTCATCCACTGGAAGCTGTCCTCCTCCGAGGCGTCCGGGCGTTGCTCGGCCACCACCACGATCCGCTCCTCGTGCAGGACGGTGACGGAGAACACCGTGATGCTGCACCGCGCCGCCACGCACGCAAAATGATGATGTTTACACACCACACCAGGTACTCATTTGAGGCTGAGTCGACTTAGGGGAGGCCCAAAACTAGTTCAGATATTCCTCATTAGTGTTGGCTGTGATCGGGAATCGAACTCGGATCGCTGGATTTGTAGCGCAGCGCACTAACCACAACACTACCGCTCCCCACACACGCACAGACACACGCACAGACACACGCACGCTCGCTGGTTATAAAAAGCCCAGGATTTTGTCAATTTGCATAATTATAGTGAGAGGCATAACTCTGCAACTGTTTGCGCATGCCACTGGTATCTTTGGCCTTCTATACTGACCAGACATCATAATATGTCAAGGTTATTTGTACCTCAGAGGTACCTCAGTGCCCATACAAGCTCACACTTTTAACATTTTATATTTTGCTCCCGTTTGCATGCTATTCGTGCATATGGTGCCATGGCACGAGGCTACCGTATCTCTCTCAGAGCCACCCTCCGAGTTGCCTTCTTCAAGTGACCTCCACTCCACACGGTCGGGGGGCAGCACATTCCCCACCCGCTTTGCTCGCCACTGAGAGTTGCGTTTGTCACATGACAGTCAAACGAGATAATTTTTTTAAAAATTTCTATCAGCTGGAATTTATCCCAATTGAGTGCACAACTAAATTTAACGTGATGGTGATCGGGCTGAGACGATCGACTCAGGCACTCGTGTACAGCTCAGCGTGTGCACGTTCGGCCATGACGGCTACGTTGCTACGCGTGCCCTCGCACGCCCACGTGTGCCGCACGCTGCACCAGCAGGAGGTCACGCGACAGACCGCGGCGCCATGGGTTGACTGACGGACATGGTAGACGCAACACCTGTTGTGCCCAATGCGCCGCCTTCGCTGCCGTTTTAGCCACCCGGCGCTCGGCTCGTCGTTCAGAGTGCCACTCTCAGCTCTCCGTTGTACACGCATGCACAAAGACAAAGATCCCCCGTATAGCCTGAACAGACTGTTGGGGCAAGTGCTGTTAGTCAGCACCTATGAAGGCCGGCACGGCACACGAAGGGGTGGGTGGCCAACACCACGCCCGGCCGCCTTTGTCTCCTGAGTGGCGATGTTTACATACCGCACCAGGTACTCATTTGAGGCTGAGTCGACCTAGGGGAAAGCATTGGGCCGTGATCGGGAAACGAACCTGGGTCGCTGGGTTTGTAGCGCAGCGCTCGAACCGCTACAATACACTACCGCTCCCCACAGACGCATGTGCGGATGCACACGCACACATGCACACGCACACATGCACACGCACGCGCAAGCTCACCGTCCGCGGTAGACGAACTTCATGGGCTCCACGGCGAGCGCGGTGGCCACGATGTCGTCCCCGTTGTGTCGACGGCCGCCCACCACCATGAGCCCGTCCATCTTCCCCACCACGAACACGAGCCCGCCCTGCGCAAAGACAAAGATCTCCCATGTAGGCCTCACACAGGCTGTTGAGGCAAGCGCTATTAGCGAGCACCTATGAAGGCCGGCATGGCATATGAGGGGGTGGGTGGCCAACACCACACCTGGCCGCCTTGGTCTCCCCAGTGCATTTACATCCCATACCAGGTACTTATTTCAGGCCGAGCCGACCTAGGGGAGGCCTAGGACCAGGTCAAATAAACGTAACTGGTGTTGGTGGCCATGAGCGGGAGTCGAACTCGATTTGCCGAGTTATGCTGCTGCTACGTACATACGTACAGACACAAACATACATCCATGCAGACGCACACATGCGCACAAACACGCGCAGATATGGCATTTTCGACACACGGCACGCGCACGGTCATCTCGGCCGTCGCGGGCTGCGCTGTTCCTGTCTGGCCACACGTGCCGTGACAATGTCCACCCACAGCGACGACAAGTTTGTTCTCAGACTCAGTGGCCGCTATCCGAGTGAACGAGCTCGCGTTTAGTTTTGTGCGTTCGTCGCGTCGCAAGGCTGCGGTCGCTCGCTGCTCGGGCACGGGTCTCTCTCTCTCTCTCCGTGCGTCTCTGTCATTTTGTCCGTGTGCGAGGAACTCACGGGCCCCAGGAATCCCAGCATGCTGCTGCGCACAAAGGGGACTCCGCTGACGGGGACCCCCGCGTCGTCCACCGGGAAAACCTGCCGCCCCCGCACGCAAACGCCCGGTTCAGGGGGCAGAAGGGTACAACGCACGACGCGGTGATGACGGTGGTGGTGGTGACCGTATGTGTGGGCGCCAAGGTGGATAGATGTTAACTACCTCGCCTGGTATACAGGAAGTCGTCGGTTCGATTCCGAACCTGACGCCTGCTGTGTATTTGGAGTTTGCGTGTCTCTCTCCTCGTGGTCGCGTGGCTTTTTTTCCGGGCCCTCTGGTTTACCCTCCACATTTAGAATCAACATCACGTGTTCAGAGTATTTGGCTACTGCTATACATCTCCACGTGATAAGCCACTTTGTTGAGCTATTATTTGTGGCCAGGTCGGTTCTGAAAAAGACCCTTATAGCTCAATGGGCCTTACCTGTTAAAATATTATTTTTATAAATATCTCAGTATGAATGTTGAACTTATTTCGCACAGTACGTAGCCCTACCGTGCTAATCGGAGGTGCGGCGGAAGGAAAACAAACTAAACGCTAAAATCAGTTCTAAAGAAATTCGTTTTCAATCTAGATGATGTAAAAGTGCATTGCTCCGGTGGTTTCCTAATAATGGAAGGAAGAGCGTTCCAGACGGCCGCAGAAGCGCATCTGAAAGCACTCAATGCGGTTACCATATTTGTTCGACGGCTAGCCAAAAGCCGCTGCGAGGATGACCATGATGGTTTATGTTCCTTGACGAGATCAGCGAGGTACTGTGGTTAATTTGTGGCAAGCCACAAATTAATTGACGTGGTGCTGGGCAGGGCAGCAGACAGCGGGGCAGAATAGGGATGGGCAGGACTGGGTAGGGTAGAGCAGAGTATGCCAGGACAGGGTAGCTAGCGGTAGGTAAGAGGTGGGTACACAAGGGTAAGGTAGAGCGGGTGGAAATGGGAAGGCTGCAAGAGGTGGAGAAGAGCAGGGCTGGGCTGGGCAGGACATGGCAGCAGGGCAGGGTAGGGGAGGGGATGGTAGAGCACGGTAAGAGTACAGCACGGTAAGAGTACAGCAGGGTAGCGTAGGGCAGGGTAGGGGAGGGGAGGGTAGAGCAGGGCAGGGTGGGGCAATGGCAGGAAAGAGCAGGGTATGGCAGGATCCAGCAAGGTAGGGAAATGGCAGGGTATAGAATGGCAGGGTACAGCAGTGCAGGGTAGAGCAGAGTAGACAGGGCACGGTAGGGCAGTGTAAAGTAGGGCAGGGCAGGGTAGGGCAGGGTAAGAGTTGGGCAGGGCAGGGCAGGGTAAGAGTAGAGCACGGAAGAACAGGGTAGAGAAATGGCAAGCAAGAGCAGGGCTGGGAAGGGCGGGGCACCTCAAAGGTGTGCTTGGTGATGCCAGCGAGTCCCAGGTAGGAGGTGCCGGTGCAGGGGGAAGACACGCACAGCTCCCCCACCTCGTCGGTGCGGCACAGGAACGGCACCCCGTCCGGCCGCACCACGCACACCGCGGCTGGAGACCAACGAAAAGATCGCCCACGGAGGCTGTACAACGTTTCGGGGCAAGCTCTGTCGTGAAGGACGGAACGGTGCACCCACGAGGGGGGTGATGTGGCCAGCGTGACGCCCGCCGGGATAACGTTTGTCACCCCGGTGCTGATATTCAGACACCACGCCAGGTACTCGTTTGAGGCTGAGTCGACATAGGGGATACCCAGGATCGGTTGAAATATATATTTGTGTGGCCAGGTTCGTAATGCAGCGCGTTAACCGCGACACTGCCGCTTCCCACGCACACGTGCGTGTACGCACGCATACACGCACGCATACACGCACGCACGCATACACGCACGCATGTACACACGCATACACGCATGCAGGCGGGCAGCCATACGCACCTCCCGGCATGACGCTGCCCACGTCCTGCACCGTGAGCACCGAGAGCTTCTCCTCCGAGTCGACGCGGATCGTTCCGTGGCTCAGGCCGTGCATCGAGAGGACGCCGCGGCCCGCGGGGAGCGGCAACCCGTCCTCGCTCGGCCTGCACGCACGTACACACACATGCCCGCGTGCACGCACGCACCAGCATGCCAAGTGTGAACCCTCACACACAGTCACGACAGTATGGTGCTGTGTGCCGCAATGGCACACAGCACCATGGTAGTGGTGGTGCGGTGCGTGACGGTGGTACGGTGCGGTGTGTGGTGGTGGTGCGGTGTCTGTTGTGAGGTGGTGGTGCGGTGGTAAGGCGGTGGTGCGGTGGTAAGGCGGTGGTGCGAACCTGCGGATGGCGATGGTGAGCACCTCGGGGGAGCCGGCGCAGGGGCAGATTGCCTCGGGCAGCAGCCCCTTGCTCTGGAACACGTTGAGGAACGCGTCGCATGACGAGATCGACCCTACGCCACACGCACACGCACGCAGGCATGCACACACACACACACATGCAGTCTCTCGCAACACGATCACCACCAACAACAATCACCATTTGCCTCTGTCTCTCTCTCCTCTTGCGTACGGCTGCATGCATAACAACGCACAAGGCTCTGCTCGGATTAGATCGCTTCGGTTGATGTGCAGTGGATCGCTTCAATGCCTCTGTAGAATTTGTTCACAAGGGTTTGTTCTCTGCTTTGTGGCCGACGGTCACCGCCTGCGCACACTCGCAGGGCCAACTCACTCATCAACGCAGCAGCGCAGGCGGATCCGCCGTTCCATTTAGTTGGGGCGCCACGGTAGCTATGAGATGTTAACTACCTCGTCTGGTATACAGGAGGTCGTGGGTTCAATCCCGACCCTGATGCCTGTTGTATATTTGGAGATTGCATGACCTCCCTCTGGTCGTGTGGATTTTTCCTGGGTCCTCTAGTCTTTCCCTCCACATTTAGAATCAACATCACGCGTTTAGATCATTTGGCTGCGATAAAGTTCCACGTGACAAGCCACTTCGTCGAGCTATCATCTGTGGCCAGGTCGCTTCTGAAAAAGAGCTACACAGCTCAGTGGGCCTTACCTGGTAAAATAAAAAATTGCTTTTAGTTTAGTAAACTGTGGATCATTAAACTCATCACCAAGAACTGGTGACAATGTGACCAAGGATTTCGTGCCAGGCACAGTGCACAATGCGGATGCACGGTGCACGGGGGGAAGTAAAGGTGTGCACGCGCAAGCGTAGGTGTGCACCAGTAAGCAGCGGTGTCTGTTGTATACAGCTGAGTGTGGTGCTGGACATCAACCCCCACGTGTACTGTGCCAGCCTTCATAGGTGCTCGCTAACAGCACTTGCCCCAACAGTCCATTGCGGGCTATACGGGGGACCTTTGCCTCTGTTGTGTACAGCTGAGCGTTGTTGTGCGCCGTTGCGCGACGCGCTTTTGTGCTCGGGAAAACGTGCATGCGACGAGCGTTGTGCGCGCGTGCGCGCGTGTGAATGCGTGAGTGCAGACGTGTGTAGGCGAGTGTAAGGCGAGTACTTGTGTGAGTGCGGGTGAGTGGTTACTCACAGGGGTTGGCTCCGTCCGCCACAATGAGCATGCGCAGGGCGCGCAGGTTGATGTCACGCTGGTCTCGGTGTGCCACCAGTGCCCAGTGCATGTCCCGTGACTTAACACACGCCACCCGCGCTGTACGGCACCACCACCACCATCATCATCATCAACATCACCATCGTACGTCACGAGGATGATCATCACCACCACCACCATCATCATCATGGTCACTACGATTATTATCACCACCATGATCATCATCGTCGTCGTCGTTACGATTATCATGAACACCGTCATTGTCATCATCATCATTACGATTGTGGCCAATTTATCAAGACGAGAGCGAAAAAGTACTCTGTGGAAGCATCTGCTAAGATGTGTGAGGCCTATAAGGCATATTTCGGCATGCCTGTCGGGGATCAAGACAAACCCTGGGCACCTCATTTCTCCTGCGAGCAATGCAAAAAAACTCTGGCTGGTAAGATGGACAATTGTTGCTGGGAATTTTATGTTATAAAATTTGTTTGAAAAAATTTAAATGTATTTTTTTTTACAATTTTCAATGTCCGAAATTAATCATCAAAACCATCTTGATCACCATGATGATCAGTTTAACATGTAGGCCTCTGCAACCAATATCATCCATAATCGCCTAGTATATAACGAATTGGCATGTTCTGTTTACGTGACAAACCTTACTAATTGGTTGTGTTGGGCTGTGGCGGGTTTAACGACACATTTATATATTTACCCGACCGAACCCAAAAAACCCGTATTATGCACCATGATGATCTTTACACACCGCGCCAGGTTACCGTAATCCCGCACCTCCCATTCGCACGGTTGGCTACGTACGGTGCGAAAGAAGTTCAACATACAGTACATACAGTGAGGGAAAAAAGTATTTGATCCCCTAATGATTTTGTACGTTTGCCCACTGACAAAGAAATGATCAGTCTATAATTTTAATAGTAGGTTTATTTGACATGCGTTTTTCTGGATTTTGTTGTTGTTATTCTGTCTCTCACTGTTCAAATAAACCTACCATTAAAATTATAGACTGATCATTTCTTTGTCAGTGGGCAAACGTACAAAATCAGCAGGGGATCAAATACTTTTTTCCCTCACTTTACATCACTGCCAATCGTTGCTTCCATTCGTTACCGCATTCACCGCCGCAATTACCAGCAACTACTGCCTTCACCCTCTTCTGAGGAAGAGAAGGCAAAGTGAGGTGGCGGATGAGCGATGCTTTACCTTTGTAGGCGTAGACTTTCTGAATCCAGGAGACCGGGTTCACCTTCATGAGCGAGTACGGCACGCAAACCACGTGCAGCATGTTCATCACGCTCTGTGCACCCGCCACACACACGCACACACACAAAGATCCCCCGTACAGCCTTAACGAGTAGCAAGTGCTGTTAGTGAGTAGCACCTACGAAGGCCGGCACGGCATACGAGGGGGCGGGTGGCCGGCACCACACCTGCCCGCCTTTGTCTCCTTAGTGGTGATCTTTACACATCACACCAGGTACTTATTTGAGACTGAGTCGACCTCGGGGAGAATCCGTGACCGGTTCAGATAATCGTCACTGGCGTTGGCCATGAACGGGAATCAAACTCGGGTTGCTGGGTTCGTAGCGCACTGCGCTAAACCGCCACACTACCGCTCCCCTACACGCAACTAGAGACACACAGCAAAACGCCGCGCACACAGCACCGCGCCGCACACAGCATGACGCAGCGAGCGACGGGCCTGAATCGGTGAGTGCTACACCCTCACTCAGCCTGGCTCCCTTCACGTCGAATTCTACCCACAGTGCAGCGAGGTAGGAGCTGAGTGCAGCACCCCATATCGGCCCAATCAGTGCTCTGTGCAGCTGCTGTAACAATTGTACGCTAGACGGCCGCGGCAACGATCGCTCGGGGGTTGCAGAACGAGGCTTCGGCACGGAAAAAAAAACACCAAGCTTCTCCGATGCCTCCTTCGCCATCGGAGAGAGACAGCCATTCCGTGACAGCGCAGCACGAGGAGAAGGGAGAATATAGAAGGGAGAGAGCCAAGCGGAGACGAGAGGGATCGTTAGATCTAGATGAGTGGGATCTGTAGTATCTAGATGAGTGGGATTGGTAGATCTAGGCGAGTAGGATCGGTGGATCCAGACAAGAGGGTTCTGTGGATCTAGACGAGTGGAATCTGTGGTATCTAGATGAGTGGAATCGATGGATCTAGATGAGAGGGATCTGTGGTATCTAGATGAGTGGGATTGGTAGATCTAGGCGAGTGGAATCGGTGGATCTAGACGCGTAGGATCGGTGGATCCAGACGAGAGGGATTGATGGATCGAGAAGAGCGGGATCGGTAGATCTAGATGAGAGGGATCGGTCGATCTAGACGCGAGGGATCGGTGGATCTAGACGAGTGGAATCTATGGTATCTAGATGAGCGGGATCGGTGGATCTAGACGAGAGGGATCGGTAGATCGAGAAGAGCGGGATCGGTAGATCTAGATGAGAGGGATTGGTAGATCGAGAAGAGCGGGATCGGTAGATCTAGATGAGAGGGATCGGTGGATCTAGACGAGAGGGATCAGTGGTGTGTTGAGTTGCGCGCCCTCACGGTGAGGATGCCGTGCCACAGCCCCACGTCCTTCTTGAAGTCGAGGACGTTCACCAGCGTCTCTCCTGCGTGGGGGAGACAACGGTTGCCCGCTCAGCAACACCGTGATCGCACAACCCTCATGCGTGTGTGCGTGTGTGCGTGTGTGCGTGCAGTGTGTGTGTGTGCGTGCAGTGCATGCGTGCGTGTCCGTGCGCACACCCTCGATGTAGCTGCAGGCCTGCGTGAGTGCCTGGCAGTGGGTGAGCATCGCCGCTCGCGACACCGTGACGCCCATCACGCTCCCCTCCTTGCTCGTCTTGTACTGAGCCGCACCCACGAACCACGAGCACGTGCGTCATCACCACCGTTACCGACCATCACCACCACTATCATCAGCACCACCGCCACCATCACCACATTGACATGCTCACCATTACCAACACCACCACTATCATCAGCACCACCGCCACCATCACCATCCTCACCATTACCAACACCATCACCACCACTATCATCAGCACCACCATCACCATTGACATCCTCACCATTACCAACACCATCACCACCACTATCATCAGCACCACCGTCACCATCACCATTGACATCCTCACCATTACCAACACCATCACCAACACTATCATCAGCACCACCGCCACCATCACCATCCTCACCATTACCAACACCACCACCACTATCATCAGCACCACCGCCACCATCACCATCCTCACCATTACCAACACCACCACCACTATCATTAGCACCACCGCCACCATCACCACCACGATCATCAGCACCGTTACCACCACGACGATCATCATCGTCAGCATGCTCATCACCATCGTCACCACCATCACCATCACTCTCGACACTACCGTCACTATCATCCTTACAATTACCACCATCACCATTGACATCCTCGCCATGACCACCACCACCACGATCATCATCATCACCACCCGCAACCATCACCCCCCACCATCACTGCCATCCCCGGTACCCGGTCGATGATGAAGCGGCCAGTCACCTCAATGTAGGCGATGTCGCCGTTGGCGTCACAGATGTGGGGAGTCCAGTCCTTGGGAGCTTTCCCCACGTTCCTCGACTCCGTCACGAACCACGTGAGCTTGGGCCAGCCTGGGGAGCCACACGCAGCAGTGACACACACCACACGCAGCAGTGACACACACGCAGCAGTGACACACACGCAGCAGTGTCACGCAACACACGCAGCAGTGACACACACGCAGCAGTGTCACACACCACACGCAGCAGCGTCATACACGCAGCAGTGTCACACACCACATGCAGCAGTGACACACACGCAGCAGTGTCACACACCACACGCAGCAGTGACACACACGCAGCAGTGACACACACGCAGCAGTGACACACACGCAGCAGCGTCATACACGCAGCAGTGTCACACACCACATGCAGCAGCGTCATACACGCAGCAGTGTCACACACCACACGCAGCAGTGACACACACGCAGCAGTGACACACACGCAGCAGTGACACACACGCAGCAGCGTCATACACGCAGCAGTGTCACACACCACATGCAGCAGCGTCATACACGCAGCAGTGTCACACACCACACGCAGCAGTGACACACACGCAGCAGTGTCACACACCACACGCAGCAGTGACACACACGCAGCAGTGTCACACACCACATGCAGCAGTGACACACACGCAGCAGTGTCACACACCACATGCAGCAGTAACATACACGCAGCAGTGTCACACACCACACGCAGCAGTGACACACACGCAGCAGTGTCACACACCACACGCAGCAGTGACACACACGCAGCAGTGTCACACACCACACGCAGCAGTGACACACACGCAGCAGTGTCACACACCACACGCAGCAGTGACACAGTCGCAGCAGTGACACACACGCAGCAGTGTCACACACCACACGCAGCAGTGACACACACGCAGCAGTGACACACACCACACCACACGTAGCATGCAACTGGTAGCACGTGCCAAATTTCACTCGCACCTTGCACACGTTGGTGCTGCTACGGTGAAGTTACTATAAGATCCCCCGTCCAGCCTTCACCAGACTGTTGGGGCAAGTACTTTTAGCAAACACCTATAAAGGCCGGCACGGCTCATCAGAGGATGGGTGGCCAACACCATGCCTGGCCGCCTTTTCTACCCCAGCCGTCATGTTCACACATGGAAACCGGGTACTTATTTAAGGCTAAGTTGACCCAGGGGAGGATCAGCACAAATTCAAATATTAGTGACTGTAATGAGTCGTGAGCAGGAATTGACCACGGGTCACCTGGTTCTTAGTGCAGTGGAGCTAACCACTATCGGCCAGAAGTTACGACACACAAACACACTCCACAATTCACACGACACGCACAACGCACACACACGACACGCACACACACGACACGCACACAAAACACGCAGTGTCGCTCTCTGCTCGCCGTTCACCATGCCCTAATAAGGTGCAGCCCAGCGTCTAACGGTAACGCAGCCTCCTAGCAGCACATCACATGCGCCGATGCCATCATCATCATCACCATCACCACCATAATCACCCTCACCATCACCATCATCAATCGTTACATCATCACCATCATAACCACCTTGTATCCGCGCCGCACCCGCCACACATCGCCCCATTTACCGACAGCGACCTCCACCCCACGCAGGCAGTGACCTTTGAACTGGCTGATGTCACCGGTGGGCGTCTTGGGGAGGCCTTTGTAGCAGGCGTCGCTCGTCATCGCCACGGTAACGCAGCAACTTCCCAGCAAGAATCCAATCTGTTGGCTCCCGGCATCCTGCACGGACACGCACGCACACACACACACGCACGCACACACACGCACGCACACACACACACGCACACACACACGCGCACGCACACACACGTACACACACACGCGCACGTCAGTACACACGTGCACGTGGGTAAGCTCGACGTGCGTTGTCACGTGTGCCGCGCGGGTAACCGCGCCGGCGGGCACTGAAGAAGGGGTGTGGGGGGCGCGCACTCAAGAGTCAGAATATTGATTCATACTGGGGGAATTCGATGAGCTATAAAGCTCACAGAAGTCCAGTAGGGGCGGGTAAGAACGTTACAACAACAAACAATACAAAAACACGATAGGAGTGCAAGAAGGGCAACCGAATCATCCAACAGCACACAAATAAGACGAAACCACCCCGACCTTGCGCGTGAGCGGCACCTCGATAGGCACGGGCACCAGCTCAGCGAGCAGGCAGCCGTAGAACGCCACCAGGAATGCCACCGGGTCGTTGTTTGGGTACACGAGCGCCACCTACGCGCACGCACACACGCAGGAACGCACACACACGCGCGCACACACACGCAACGCGCGCACACACACACGCAACACGCACACACGCATGCCACGTCGTGAGCTTTTCTGATTCTGAAACGTCTTTTAGACGTGGGAGTAGCCACACTTTAACCCACCACGCGCATCCTGCTGATCGATTCACTGCGGTGCAACCTGTTGATGCTGCTGGGCAGAGGGAGGCAGTGGTGGTGGGGTGTAGATTTAAGAATCTTGCCCCATTGTTTCAACTGCCGTGTCGGGAGATGGAATCGAACTGGTGTCCTCTAAATTTCGATTTAAAGCTTTCGTGACTGCAGGGATTAATCTTCTTGGTTCTTTCGGTAAAGTCACGTAAAATGGAAATAATAAAATAATAAAAATAAAACATAATAAAGTAATTCTCATGACGTTTCGGCCACAACGCAAGTAGCCGTCCTCAGGTGGAGAACAGGTCTGTCGAGGAGACAGAGTCTGAATGACAAGCCCCAGGCTTGGAGCGACTGATGGTGTCCTCTAGATCGCGAGTTCAGCACGCTGACCGTTAACGCCGCCACTGGCAGCTCTCTGGCATGTGTGCGTGCACTCGTAATAGCCGAACAATCCCAGGGGGATGTCCAGGCCTGGTTCAGACACTCACGGAATCCAGGTCACACGGTTTCGAGCGCAGTGAGCTACGGACCCTGTGACCACCGCTCCTCACGCACGCACGCACGCACGCACGGATGCACGCAGCACACACGCACACACGCACACACGCACGCCGGATCCCTGCTGACACTCGATGACGACGTTCAGGACACGTCACCAGCACACTCCTGTACACCGAGGCGACGTCATTATTCCACTTCCACGATCGACCCAACCGGGCCAGAGCAGCGGTGCATCGGTTGGCTCCCTCCGCCATGAACACGGCAACCCGAGTTGAATTCCTGGCCATCGCTGGAAAGTGTGCATCCCAACCGAATGGGGCGCTCCCCTAGCCCGAACTCAGCCTTACACGAGTACCTGGCGCGGTGCGTAAACATCAGGCCTCGGGGATGGCAAAGGCAGTCGGGGCGTGGTGCTGGCCACACCGTACCCTCGCGCCCTGCCCTGGCCTTACAGTACTTGCACCAACAGTCTAGAAAGGCTCCACAAGGTGGACCTTTGTCTTTGTTTGAGTGGGGGGCGCAGCGCCCGGCTGGGTGCTAGGCTCGCCTTGTCTCCGGGCTTGAGCAGCGCCTCCTGCTTGCCTCCCAGTTTGTGCAGCAGCGTGTACGCCAGCTTCACGCTCCGGCTCCACAGCTTGCCTGGGCGTGCACACCACAACGATTATCCACACACAATGTCTGTCCACACACCATGTGTGTCCACATACAATGTCTGTCCACACACCATGTGTGTCCACATATAATGTCTGTCCACACACCACGTGTGTCCACACACAATGTCTGTCCATACACAATGTCTATCCACAAACGTCTATCCACAAACGTCTGTCCACATACAATGTCTGTCCACACACCACGTGTGTCCACACACAATGTCTGTCCATACATAACGTGTGTCCACACGCAACGCCTATCCATACACAGTGTATGCACACACACAATGTGTGTCCACACAAGTCACTTAAATGACCATTTTACAAAGCACAACACTTCTCATGCACATTTGTACGCAGACCTGGATGGGACACATCACGGCCAGAAAAGGGTGAAGACTAAAAAACAATTTTTATTTTACCAGGTAAGGCCCACTGAGCTATATAGATCTTTTTCAGAAGCGACCTGGCCACAAATGACAGCTCAACGAAGTGGCTTATCACGTGCAAATTTAAAGCAGCCACATACTCTAAATGTGGAGAAAAAACCAAAAAAAATCCATGCAACCACGGGAAGAACATGCAATATCCAAATATACAGGCGTCAGGGTTGAGATTGAACCCAAGACCTCCTGTATAACGAGACGAAATTGATATTTACACATCAAGTTTCATCCTGTCCACAAGATATATTGTTGGGAAGGATGTGTGCATTTGTTCCTGTTCTATCAACTTCTCAAACTATTTTTTTCAATAGGACGATCGCGACTTTATTTTAGTACAAAAAATGAATTTTTCCATTTAAAGCTTTCGTGACTGCAGGGATTGGTTCTTTCGGTAAAGTCACGTAGAAGGGCAACAATAAAATAATACAAATTAAACCTAATAAAATACAATTCTCACGACGTTTCGGCCACAATGAGTTGTGGCCGAAACGTCATGAGAATTGTATTTTATTATGTTTTATTTTTATTATTTTATTATTTCCCTTCTATGTGACTTTACAAAAAATGAATTGGAAAGCTGCGAATGGCCGGCAAAATCATTTCATCTTAAGCAACCAGACCACTGAGAGAGAGAGAAGGGTGGGGTGGGGGGTGGGACACTCAAGAGGGTGTCCATTGCGAGAGATGCGGTGATGGAATCAGCTTGTGTGCAGGAGATGGGCGAATGTTTGCACCACGAGATTGTGAGAATGGCGACTGCTTGTGGTGGTGCCTCCATCCAGCAGTAAATAGATCACGGCCGATGACGATGGTGTTGACAAGGACACTGTGGGAAAGCCAGTGACTCAAAGGTCAGCGATCTGAACCGGCACCGCTGAAGACCTGGGTTCGAATCCAGGCAGCCACCTGTGATGAGTTGATGTTCATAGCCCAGTCACCAACGATCGGGCAAAAAAACCCATGACATTTACTTTAGTTTTGCACTTCATTTGACTAAATTTCACAGAAGTTAAATAACAGATTGACTCACGTGCAACGAATATCACTCTTAGGACCATAGCATGTGGGAAAGTGCTGCCCCCTTAGTGTGCGGACCAGAGGGCACTTAATGGGATCTCAGTAGAAGCTCTGTGATATCCACTTCCAAGGGCAGCTCTCTAACAGTACGGGCTGCATTGTGCCGTAAGAGATTCAAATAGATGATTCATCTCATAGCGATGTCGATAGCGCGATCAACTCGGGAAAGGGGTTTTTAGAAACGCCAGGGTTCGTGAGTGTGCATACTCGTGCATGTGAGCGTGTGAGTGAGCGTGCGGGTGAGTATGAGTGTGGGTAAGCGTGCGTGTCAGCGAGCGTGTGTGCGAGTGACCATGCGAGTGTGCGAGTGATGGTGCATGTGGGTGAACGTGCGTGCGAGCGAGCGTGCACACGAGGGGGCCGCACCGTAAGTGAGGGTGACGGTCGGCTTGCCGGCCGTGTCGAGGGCGGTGAGGCACGGCATGCGGCCCGACGTGGTCCCCCAGCGGTGCAGCGCTGCCTCCAGCGCGGGCGGCCATGCTGTGACGCCGGCGCCCAGCGGCTCGCCGCGTACCACGCTCGTCATCGCGCCCTCGGGCCGCGGCTGGTTCGGGTCGGCCTGCTGCACTGCTCACCGCCGCACCGTCGACACCGCCGACACACGCGGCTGTCACGTCTCACGGAAATCGTTTTCTGGGTCGCTGCTACCCGCTAATACCACCGGCACCTGTTGTGACCCCGCTGGTACCCCGCCGGTGCCCGCTGTCTCTCTCTCCCCTTCTCTCGCTCTGTCTCCCTCTCTGTCTCCCTCTCTGTCTCTCTCCCTCGCTGTCTGTCTGTCTGTCTCTCTCTCCCTCTCTCTGAGTCTGTGGCGCGCGTGAGCCCGGTGCCAACGTCCGCTTCAGTAGAGATTCTTCACCTACGTGGCACGATACGCGACCGCCAGGCCGCGCTTATTCATTCACATACCTCTGAGATGGCATTTTTGTCGCAACCTTTTCCGATTTGTATCTGAGCACCAATGATATTATTACTTGGTGTCTATCCTGTTTGCAGTGACTTCTGGAGTGGGTTTCGTTGAAACTATTTGTTGTTGTTTTTGCTCCGGTTCAATTGCACGTTCCTTCCCTCCCTGCCGACGGCCTCGGGCTGTGGTCATCTTCGTGACAGAGCTGCTTGGCTCAAGGGAGTGCTGATAAAGTCGCCGTTCCGTCGCGACACAATAGGCAGGGAAGGGCAACGGGGCTTGGCAATGCCAAGTCCACATGCCAATCGGCGACGACCGTGACGGGACGTATCCAGCTCGGTGACCAGCCCTCGCAGCCTTGCACTCGTTGCCCTAAGAATTCAGGTGCAGGAAGTAACGTCCAGGATTTCTCTTGATTTAAATGATTATTCTACTAGGTGAGGCCCGCTGAGCTATGCAGCTCTTTTTCATAAACGAACTGGCCACAAATGACACCTCGACGAAGTGGCTTATCGCGTGCAAATTCATAGCAGCCAAATACTATAAAAGCACGTTGATTCTAAATGAGGAGGGTGAAAAAACCAGAGGACCCAGAGAAAAATCCACACGACCACGGTGGAAAACATACAAATTCCAAATATACAGGCGTCAGGGTCGGGATCTAACCCACGACTCCATGTAAACCAGGGGAGATAGCTAACATCTCTCCACCACCGCACCCTCCGCGCCACCGTGGCGAGGAGGAAGTGGAGTCGCGTGTGTTTGTTCGTTGGCTCGTCGCCCAACACTTCTCTAGGCCCACCAAGACGTTGCGCGAAACGAAGCGAGCGAGACTTGAGACAAACACCTCGCCACAATCCCCCTCGGGGGGTCATTAAATAGGTACCACTTTGCGTGGAAGTCTACGGTGGTTGTAAACGGGTCATTTGAGACAGAAAGCCACTTTGATTTCACCACGCTGGTCGATTCGGGTGAGTGAGGGTGGGGGAAGTATACAAGTACAGTGCTACCACTGTCCACCCACGTAGCCCCACAGCAGCCTATAACACCTGTTATGCATGGCAGTCACCCATCCAAACGCACGCTCGAATCTCATCACGGCAGAACAACTGCAAAGCACTGCCACATGGTGGATGGGTGGGTGGTGGTGGTGATGTTGGTGATGCTGGTGGCGGTGGTGCTGGTGGCGGTGATGCTGGTGGTGGTGGTGCTGGTGGTGCTGGCGGTGGTGGCACTAGTGGTGGTGGTGCTGGTGATGCTGGTGGTGCTGGTGATGCTGGTGGTGGTGATGCTGCTGGTACTGGTGGCGGTGGTGCTGGCAGTGGTGCTGTTGGTGGTGGTGCTGGTGGTGGTGATGCTGGTGGTGCTGGTGGACGTGGCGGTGCTGGCACTGGCGGTGGTGGTGCTGGTGGCGGTGTTGGTGGTGGTGATGCTGATCGTGCTCGTGGTGGTGCTGGTGGTTGTGGGGGCGGTGCTGGCAGTGGTGGTGGTGGTGCCGATGGTGGCGGTGGTAGAGTGGTCGGTTGCCTCGTCTCACCGTCGAGGAGCTCCTCAAAGTCTTCCACGAAGAACTCTCTGAGCGGCGGCCGCTTGGGCCGCTTGAGCGTGTTGAGCAGCTGCTGGATCTTGGAGGAGACGCGGCTGCTCACGGGGACTCCTGCCGCAGTGGGGATAACAGAGGACCAGTTCAGAGGTCAAAGGCGTAGAATGCAGTGAGAGAATGGAATGGATTTGGATGGGGATGGAATTGATCAACCAAATGCTTTGGATTGAGATATTATTAGGCTCTCGGGCGGTGACCCCATTCAACTTTGATGCCCTCAATTTAAGGACAGAGGATCGCTCCGCTGGCTCCCAATCTAACCCTGGATGAAATTCAGATCACGCCCGCCATCTTCAAGATCGTCCATTGACTCGCCCCTGCCTACCTCTCCCCTCTCATCTCACTCTACTCCCCTCCACGCACTCTCCTACCTCTCCCCTCTCATATCACTCCACTCCCCTCCACGCACTCTCCTACCTCTCATCTTACTATACTCCCATCCACGCACTCTCCTACCTCTCCCCTCTCATCTCACTCTACTCCCCTCCACGTACTCTCCTGCCTCTCCTACCTCTCATCTCACTCCACTCTCCTCCACGCACTCTGCTACCTGTGTGATAGTAGGGAGCGGTACTCCCCTCTGCCTATGACCGATTCGCCTTCACTCTCTGCACAACAAACACGCCCACCGCTTCTGACCAGCTTCTTCATATGTGGTCACATTCAGACGCGACGCAAATCTAAAATGCATTGGATTGTGTTCAAGTCAGGGACACGATGGCATTTGTGCAACTTGGGTTGCGGAAGTTTTAGAGGTTTTCGGTGGCTGCGCCGAGAGTCAGATGCAGCAGTGGAGTGAATAAAAACAACTGGGACTGGGTCATCAACCGCATGACACACTGGCCCACAACGGCCAACTTCTGCGACTGACGCTCGCTTGGCCAAAGGGTTTTTAATCGACCGGTCAACAGATTTCCCAATCCTATACGCAAGCCACGTAGTTTACTAACAGCGGTGGTCCATGAGAGAGACCAGTCACTTGCTTTGGCACAGGGCCAAGACAAAGATCCCCGTATGGAATGAACAGACTGTATGGACAAGTGCTGTTAGCGAGCACTGATGAAGGCCGACATGGCACACGAAGGGGTGAGTGGCCAAGCACCACAGCCAAACCCGCCTTTGTCTCCCAAGTGCACCGGACCAGGTATTCATTTAAGGCTGAGTCGACCTAGGGGATGTCCAGAACCGGTTCAGATATTCGTCACTGGTGTTGACCGTGAGCGAGAATCAAACTCTGGTCTCCAGGTTCGTAGCGCAGTGCACTAACCGTCACACTACTGCTCCCTACTATCACACACAGGCGCACGTGCAACGCAATATGGTTTAGATTTACACAGCATCCCACAACGTGACTAAACATTGCAACTCGATATCTATTACCGACACCAAATTGAGGATGGCCTCCAGCCAGCAGCGCACTGAGAATGTGTTGGAATTTAAAAAACTTTTTTCAACAAAGATCTGCTCTGGAAATGTACGCCCCCCTTTGACGGGAGCCGTGAAGCTCAACTTTTACAAAACGAAAACACCAACAACAACTTACAAAAGGTGATCATTCCTCTCCTCTGGCCACGCACACACCAGGCGCACACACTCGATGCGACTCGTCCCCGGGCCAAGCCGCCACGCACGGCGACGAGACCGCAAAGACCAGCAACACCTACGCACTTTAAACCTTGGGCTTAACGCACCGGTGACGAGCAGCAGCCTTCACCCCGAGGCAAGACGCCGCCATAGAACCGACACCCCACGTCAAGCAAAATCCGTTACAAGCAGCCGGGTGGGTAAAAGCGATGGGCAAAAAATTGATTGACAGCCGATCAACAACACTCATCATTATGATATTCGTTTAACCAGGGAAACCTCATCGAGTCCCAAGACTCGTTCAGGAGGTTCCTCCATTGAGTGGGTGGATACATCTGAGAGACAAGCTACCGTGCGACATTCAAGAGCTCTCTACAGATGGATTCAAGGTCAAGTGCTGAACTACAATCTCCTGGCTCCCCCCTAACAGTCCAAGCCTACAGCACCTGATGAGTCCCATGCAGTCGCCCATCCCAAGTACAAAACCTGGACCAAACCGGCTTATAGCTTCTGCAATAAACATTACAGCAACATCCGCAGAATTGTGTCTCAGGGCGGTGTTAATACCCACGTGTTGACCAGAGTGGGCGCAGCGTGGTTGACACAGCACCTGGCGAAAAAAAAATGTATGTAGCTCCCCCCCCTCCACTGCCCCCGTCCAATTCATCCTCGAATGGCATCTGGCACACTCGGTGGCTACCAACGCCATCGGCGTGTCACCTCCATAGCCAAAAGGATGCCTCACTGCAGTAAACGGATAATTGCATTCCGCTGAACGAAGTGTTTACCAGCTCGTTTAAATTAAACGAGCCCCCTCGGTTTTAACGACACGAATACACCGCCTCCCCCACCCCCCCACACCTACCCCCACCCCCAAAAAAAAGCCTATAAACGACCTCATCTCTTCACTCTGTTCTCTCCTCCTTTTTTGTTAGTTTTTTTATTTGTCGAGGCAGCGAACGCCCCCCCCCCCGCCGCGCCACGCCACGTCCCTTCCTGGGCCGCCCGCCCGATCCTCCCCACGGCTGTCGTAAACGTGCGGCGAGCGCTTTTACAGGGGGCGGTCGGGGTGGGGGGGGCACGGGTGGGCAGGAAGGAGGGAGGGGGGTCACATTGTTTTATTGTTAACCGTGGCTACAGGCTAATATGGGCACGACATAGACACATTATTGGAATAATAATAATGACATTAGTAACAAAAAATGGCCAATCTCGACTTGAAGAAAACGACTTTTTTCGGCCCATTCATGAAGTTATTACACGCGTGATATGTATGTACGCGCGTGCGTGCATCTGTGAGCGTGCGCGCATGTGCGCGTGAAGATGCAAACGTGCGGCAGTTGCGTGTACGCGCGTACAGGTGTGTGTACACAAGTGCATGCGTGTGCGTGCATCCCCACCGTCTCCCGTCTCCATGAGTTGCGCGTTGCCCAGCTGACGCGGGAGACTTCGCACGGACGACACCTGCACCCGCTCCACGCAGGGGAGCCGCTCGGGGGGCCCGTGGGTCGCCACGTCTGGGGGGCCCTGGGGGGCCTCTACTTTGGAGCGGGAGGAAAGTGAACCAGGGGGCGGGGGAGGGGGGGGGAGGGCAAATTTGGTAAAAACAATCTGGGATGCGCAGCGAAAGAAAATTCAATGAAGATCAAATCAAGTAGGCAACTTCAGCAATTGCTGTGGTTGTCCCCACCTAATGACGGACGCTTGTGTTGCGCCCGAAACGTCGTGATTGAATTTACTTTTATTTAGTTTTATTTTTCACCTACGTGACTTTACCGAAAGAACCAAAGAGCAAAGATCAAATCGTTCGACGGACGAATTGATAATTCATCGTGCACGAGCGACCGGCGCGTTCTGGGTTTGGTGCGCGGCGCAAACCACACGGAGCGTTGGAGAGATACGGTCCACGCAACCGGCAGGATGGTGCTAATCACGGCTCTTGCATTCGCCAGGCTCGGCAGCGGAGCTCAGAAAAACGGGGTTTGACTCCTCGCCGTGACCCCACGGTCGCACGGCACGGCCGACAACTCGGCATCATTCTCTGCACAGCGCTCGTGACCAGCGGACGCTCAGGCTTTCATTTAGCAGTGGACTCTCAGACCATCGTGTCTGCTGTACATGCATTCCCACCGCACACTCCCTCGTGTGCCTGCACACCAGCGATGCAGTAGCACGGCTGACATGGGTCCTGACGCGAGGAATGAAACGGGACCCCTCCCTGTCAAGTTTCCCCCCAACTCTCTTCGTCGCTTGGCGCCCGGGGTCGCTCCGGCCCGTGGGCCCGCCGGTTCCAGGCACGCCGCCTGCACGCTCGGTAATGACGCCACCTTCTGAACACTGCGTCTGCACGGAAGCGGGAGGAGTGAATGACCCACCTATGTGCAAGCAGCCGACGCCATCGGCGAGGTCCTCCACGACCGCTTTATTGGCACCGCGCCCGCCCCCGGGTGACGCCTGCTTCCTCTCCACCTCGTCGTCGTCGTCATCCACTCCCTCAACGATTTCCCCATCCCCCACCACCTCGCTTCCATCCCCGCCGCCGCCGCCACCGCCCCCCCCGGTGTCCAAACCGCTGGGGCCGTCCCCGGTGCCGGGGCTGCAGGAGGAGGAGGCTCGCGACGCCGTGCTGGCGGTGACGGAGGACGAGCGCGCCGACGAGGTGGAGTGAGCCGAGGACGAGGTGGACGAGGAGGCGTGGAGCGTAGCGGAGGTGGTGGCGGCCGCAGGGCCGAGGCTTCCCCGGCTCGAGGAGGGGCGGCACCGCGCCCGCGAGCGCGACCGCGAGCGGGAGCGGGAGCGCGAGCGCGAGCGGCGAGCCGCCTCCGCCGCCGGCAATGGAGGAGGCGGCCGCTGGGAGCCGCCGCCATTGCCGGCGCCGGCGGCGCCACCGCCGCCGCCCCCCCTCTCCTCTCCGCCGCCCCGGCTGCTCCGGCTGCCCCGGCTGCCACCGCTGCTCCCGCGCTCGGCGCGCCGCCCGCCGCTGCCGCTGCCGCTACCGCCGTCGGCCTCCTCGTCCGACGATGTGTCTGTCGCGGGCAACGGGCGCCGGGGTCAAAACGCGGAGAGGGAATCCGGCGCCAACGAACGCGAACTGCGGCAGAGCGGTGCAACTCGCTGCGGCGAACAGCAGCTAGCCAGACGGTTGTTGAGAATTGGGACTCATCCTGGTCTCTTGCATTCTAAAACTAAAATTTAACTGAAAATCAAAACTCAGTGATTGACACCTGCACCGGTGCTGGGCCTGACACATCACCAAGTTGCAGCGTAAAATAAGGTCACACAACCACAATGACCGACACAGCCTGCGGAAGGCCTTCATCCAGCAGTGGATAGAAAGCAGGCTGAACAGGAACTAATCGGTGACATTTGAATTAGTCCAAGGCCACCTTCTTCACCAACCTAATGAACAAAGTGTACAAAAGTACGTGATGTACCCTGTCCAGCCGCTTGCTCTGTGACTTGGAACGCGAGGTCCACTCGCCCACACCAACGCGCCGATGCGCAAAGCTTCCCAGCCCAAGGCCATCAACAACACGGCTCCCGGTCGGCAGTGCGTACCATACAACCGGACCGCAATCGTCAAGATGGCATCGCCGCTGTCGCGTGACTACAAACGCCTCGGTATGAAACCATGGTGGCCGTAAAGTCTTGCACTGCGTAATATTTATGGTGATGCGTCATTGTTCGGCCTTCATCGGTGCATTGCTGGACGAAGGCCTCCCGATGCCGTTGGTCACCATGCCCGTCAGTGCCAGTCGGTGTAAAATAAAAATATTTTATTTTATTTTTATTTTACTTTTAGAAATTTATATTTTTTACCTACGTGACTTTACCGAAAAAACCTAAGAATATGAATCCTTGCAGTCACGAAAGCTTCAAATCTATAATTTATTCAGATGTCACCGATTAGTTGCTCTTTGAGTTTGTTTGAATCTTTTGTATTCAAAAATGCAAACAAACTTTTGAATGGAGCAACATAACTTTGTTGCACTTTGTGTGGAAGCAAGGATGGCGACAGCCAAGTTTATTTCTACAACACGGTTGCCGAGCACGCACGGCTGAGAGAGCAGAAAGACTTACAATCGGCCAATAAAAAAACATCACGAAAAAAGTTGGAGTAGATAAGAGTGAATGCGTTTCTTGAATCACACTAGGTGGTAACAACTTGGAATAATGACTCACTCGGATCACGCACCATGTGCACAAATGTGCAGATTTAGAGATTGAGCATTGTTCAAGGCATAACACCTACGGAATATAATGGTGTTAAATCGGAATTTACTGCATCACACGAAACATTTTCTTTTATAAAAAAAAAAGGGTGACGTAATTAAGCAATTGCATTACGTTCCGAATCAGTACCAAATATTACGTTACTTTACTCATGTAAAAAAAGCAGGTGATTAGAAATCAGCAACCAATTCCTTACCAACAGCGACCTTCCGGGTACTCCGCACTGTGCGGTGCCTCGAGTGCAGCCGCTCGTGAGGTTGGGCTAACGAGCGCATCGCTCCCATCGCTCCCATCGCTCCCATCGCTCCCGTCGCTCCCGTCGCTCCCATCGACCGCGACCAGCGACATCAACCACCCAGGCGCCCGTCCTGAGTACCGGAGGCGGTTTTTAAACCCCCAGCGGGGGTCACTGGACTGAGTACCTCCTGCCGAACCGAAGCCAGCCTGATGCCAAAACGAATGAGGCCACGGCGCTTTTGACCGCCGGACGCCGCCCGAGCGTGCGGTTGGTGGAGTTTACCCCGGCTAGCCGACCGCCTGATATACTGTAGTGCACTGTTACATGTGTACCGGAGCCGATTCATCGATTCAATTTGAGGAAGCAACAAAGTCCGCCCCGGGATTTCCAACCTCAGCTGATAACGTGTTGGTGCAGACGGACTATTTGATAAATGAAACGTGAAGGCAATGTGCAGTGGCGGTGGTGGTGATGATAATGAAGATGTTGCAACCTGGGCTGCGAGTGTTGACCTGGACGCAGCAGAAAGCGGAGATAATGATGCCACTGCCAGCCCAGTTCAGTTTGCCAATGGGTGTCAATGACAGTCTATGGATCTCGATATGAATCGATGAGATAAGTCTGTTTAAACAAATTAGTTGGTGACACTGCATTGGCAGTGGTGCAAAAGCATGTTTTGTTTATAACACTGTGGCCTTACCAGGAAACATATATATATAAGTGATGTTTGAGCAATTGCTCTTTTTCATAGCACATCAATCATTTATGTTTGTTGAGTCTTTTTTTATATGGGTCGCCAAACATGCCAGTGCTGAAAAATTACCTGCAAATTACTCAATTGGGATGACACATTGCAACATCGCCCCCTACCGTAAGCAAGTTTAGTAATTATAATAACGTGTGTTTTGTTCGCGTTTCTATGTTTCGATGTGGTGACAGCTTGGGCAGGCCTTAACCTTTCCCATTCCGATGACGTACGTGTCAAAAACTTTATCGGTACATCTTCCAACCTGAAGACGTACAGAGTCTCCCACAAGGCCATGCGGGAGGGCGTGTGGCACAGTTGGGTGCCGGCTATCGTAGAGTTGCGGTCGTGTTGCACGGATTCTCTGCGGTGAGTACAATGTCTTTAAAAACAACGGCTCGACGCCTCCGTAAATTAAATTAACGCTGATTTGCTTGCGCGTTCCGAAATTCAGCGGTGAACGGGACACCTACCCTGCAACCTGCAGAAGTTTCGGAACGGGAAAGGGTTAGGTAGCTATTTCTGCCCTCCTGCCTTATTTAATAGTAATGCACGAAGCTGCTGCTTCTGTGAAGTCACAGAGTGAATAATAGGTTAATTAAAAATAATAACAGGGTGTTTTATTGCCACTGAGAGAAAAATAAATATCTTGACTGGCACTCTTAGGGAGATATAAAGGCCAGTCGACCAAAACGTCGATATCTTTATTTTCTCTCAGCGCCAATGCAACACCCTGTTATTATGTTAATTGACCCGCTATTCATTGTGTTATCGTATCGTACGTTTAACGTCTATTTTGAGGCCGCACAAGAAAAAGATCGACTTGTACTTTAACCATCAGGATGTGATCTGTTGTCAGATGTGGAGGGAGGACGGTGTGGTTGATGTCATTTTGCGTGTGTGTGTGTGGGGAGCGGTAGTGTAGCAGTTAGCGCGCTGCGCTATGAACCCGGGTTCGATTCCCGCTCACGGTCAACACCAGTGACGAATATCTGAACCGGTCCTGGGCCTCCCCTAGGTCAACTCAGCCTCAAATGAGTACCTGGTGCGGTGTGTAAACATTGCCACTGGGGAGACAAAGGCGGCTTGGCCACCCAGCCCATCGTGTGCCGTAGGTGCTGCTACTTGTTAACAGCACTCGCCCCAGCAGTCTATAGGGGGAATCTTTGTCTCGGTCGTGGCGGTGCGTACCGGGCGGGGTGTACGCGTCGATGGACGTCTGCGCGACGAGAGAGCGCCGCTTGCTCGGCATGGGCATCTTCCTGTCCACGTGCTTGGCTAGCGCCGCCTGCACTGCTTCCGTGTGTACATCTGGGACGGGTCGCAAGGGGTCGGAGGTGAGAAGGGGGGTGGGGGTCACAGGGGTTACAGAGACGGAGTAAGCAGGGCTGGGTTTGGGGGGGGACCACTCGATCCATCGTCGCAGCCGCAGTGTGCGCCCCTCGCACGCCGCCAAGAGGCTGCGGCATCGGCACTCCCCGCTGCGATGGTGCACGCCGTGCTGCGTGTTGCTGTACCGGCGTGTAGCAAGGGTCCGGTAACGGTGCGGTAACGGTGCGGTAACGGTGCGGTAACGCGGTGTGCAGTGGCGGATCTGGGAGAGGCCTCACCGGAGCGGTAGCGTTCATCGCGAGTGCCGGAGGGACGGCGCCGTCGGCCGTACTTTGAGCAAGACGAGGAGGAGGAGAGAGGAGTGACGGGAGAGGCGCGGCGCTCCCCTCCGTACGCCGCATCCGACACTGTTGCCGTGGCAACCGAGCCAACCCCACCGTTGTCGGCAATGAGGGAAGGGGTGCGGGGGTCGGGGGGGGGGACGAGAAACCACCATCGTCACCATCACAAATCAGCAAAGCCATTCACAGCACACCCGGTGCGGATGCGAACAGCGTTCAACAACGCGGGCGACCACCACCAACCACTGGAAAAACGATGTCAGCAGTTACCAAGCAAATGCCACCATTACCCTCGCCAAGGAAAAAACGAATCGTCAGAACCAACAACATCATCAACAGCATCACATTCAGAAGCAGCAACATTCAACAGCAACAATAGTACCACCAGGCCACCACCACCCCCACCGCCATCCCCGAGTGCATGAGCCGTCGCTATCAATAAAACTAGGAAAGTGACCCTTTGTCTTGAAGACGGCGGTGTCCATTAGCATGCCGGCCCATGGCTGCTGCAGAAGCAGCAGGTAGGTGTGGCTGGGAGCGAGAGGTGTTGTGGATGGGTGGGTGGTGAGGAGGGAGGAGGGGAGAGGGAGGGGATATCCGCACCGCAAAAAGCACCTGCGTGTATAGAAACTAAAAGCGGTTACTGTTTTCCGCGCACACAGTAATCTGAAGCAACAGATAGAACCTTTTTAAAAATAAAAATGTAAATGGGCCAACGCAGAGAAGCCGTCACAGCGGTGTTAACGGTTGGCACAGTGGGCCCGAAAAATCCAGAGACCGCCGGTTCGATTCCATCTCCTGACGCGGCAGTTGAAGCGCTGCCTCTTGCTGCCCAGCAGCATCAATGCGTTACACCGCAGTGAGTGGATTAGCGGCAGGCACGTGTGGTGGGGTTAAAGTGCGGGTGGCTCCCACCTCTCCCAACGCACACAGCCAGCGTGGAGGAGTCGGCCAAATACCGTCTAGGGCAGGGGCGGGGAACCTTTTTTCTGCCAAGGGCCATTTGGATATTGAAAACATCATTTGCGGGCCATACTAAATTATAAACTTAAAAATGTGCCCGTTATATTTGGTCAAACATTTAATTAATTCACCACTAATGCGATGGCTGGAACTGCTTCTCTTTGGCGAGGCGTGTGATGTTAGCTGGTATTGATGATGTCGCTACTCGCAACTGCTTTTCCAGGTTTGCTCCTAGATTTATTGAATTTCGAGTCCCGCCTGCAGTTGCCTTGGCAGGGCCAGACCAAATGATTTTGAGGGCCTGATACGGCCCACGGGCCGGACGTTCCCCACCCCTGCTCTAGGGCTCCCTTCTAATGGAGGCCCTTCGCCAGCAGTGGCGTGAGCAATGAAGACATTTGAGTTTTGCGCCTTGACCTTTTGACCGAGCAATGAAGGCAAATGTACCATGCTGTGACTTAGACCGCCGTGCGGTTGGTACGTTCACGAATGCCAAACCTCGCATTCAAGGCGAACACTCCAATGGCATCGGTGACCGGCTCCTGACTTTCGGGAACCGGTAATCAATTCTGAAAACGGTCATGGGTTTAGTGACTGTTGTTGATTGACACCACTAGTTTATATGCATGGCTCCTGTGTGTGTGTGGCCGTGTGTGCTAACCATTTGTGGCGGACGCTGTGTAGCAGTGTCCCACCAAACAGGGCTTCATTGAAGCTGGGTCTGTCCAGGTGAGCAGCCCAAAAAAACATGCCCACACTCGGCACACCGTATCCATTAAACCTCTCGCACTGCTGTGGTTACCTGTCGCCTGCCGACTGTAGTCTACCAGCAACCCAGAAAATAAATATTTAGTGAGAAATGAAGGCCTAATTACAGGTGCACCCATCTGTCGATCTGCGCATGAGTGTGTCTGTGTGCATCTGTCAGTCACCCTCCCTCGTCATGTAACGCATAACACCTGGGCCTATCTCATGACCCCGTCCCAGTGAGTAGAGTGCATCTCGTGCCATGATGATGACACCAAGATGACACCACGGGCCCTGTAGTATACGGCTCCTCTTGTTGTGAGTACTGGATGGGTGAGTGTAGGTGGCCCTGCACGTGTGTACTGTCACGTAGAGATGTTAAATGGGGAGCGGTAGTGTAGCGGTTAGCATGCTGCGTGTGTGTGAGGAGAGGTAGTGTAGCAGTTAGCACGCTGCATGTGTGTGTGTGGGGAGCGGCAGTGTTAGCAGTCAGCGTGCTATGCTACGAACCCGGCGAGCCGAATTCGATTCCCGCTCACGGCCAACACAGTTAAGATTATCTCAACCAGTCCTAGGCCTCCCCTCGGTCGACTCAGCCTCAAATGAGGACCTGGTGCAGTGTGTAAACATCACCACTGGGGAGACAAAGGCGGTCAGCCGTGGTGCTGGTCACCGGTCCCCTCGTGTGCCGTGCCGGCCTTCATAGGCGCTTGCTAACAGCACTTGCCCCAACAGTTTATTAAGGCTATACGGGGGATCTTTGTATGCACGTTGAACTTCTTTCGCACCGTACGTAGCCAACCGTGCGAATCGTAGGTGCGGGCCTTGTGTCACGTAGTGGTGGTTAGTGCACTGCTCTCCGGACCGGGCTGCATGAGTTTGACTCTAGGTCACGGCTAACATCAGAGGCGTGCGAGAACCAGTCCCAGGTGAACTCCACCTGAAAAACGAGCACCTGGTGCAGTGTGCAAACATCAGCCCTGGGTGAAGCCAGAGGCAGCCCTCGGGCGTGGTCCAGTTCTGGCCACACCACCCCCTGCTTGTGCACTGTGACTGCCTTAACAGGTGCTCGCAAACATAACTTGCCCCATCATCAACTTGTGTAGGCGGGGTGCGGTCTCTGTGTGTGTGGCATTATAATTTACAGCACACCTTCACACACCCCCCCCTGCCCCCATGTAAAAACAACCCCGCGCCACCCTCCCAAAGACAAACAGCATCAAACCGTGCAAACAGCACGGGCTGGCCTTGTGTGCACTCGTTCACACACATTTACATAACACCTGCGTATTTGTCTACGCGACTGTAAGTTGCCGGTGTGCACCACGCGTGCAGAAGCTGGGCGCTCGCGATTATCCGAGCGACCGATTGCTCGAACGATTTCTCATCGGCACGATTATTCATCAACTCTTTCCGTCCGTGCGCCACCGGCAGAAATGTTGGCTCCGTTAGCCAAACGCCAATGTCGCGGTCTGCTGCTAGCCGCGACGAGAGGGCTTCGGGAGAGAGTTCGTCTCGTCTCGCCGTTCCTCCTCCTCCGTCGAAGGAGCACTGACCAGTGTGGTTTACTAAAGGGTCCATAGCATGGGTCGAATGCCCACAATCACACGACTGGGGCGTGCGTATTTCATGTATATCTACGTGTCTCTACGTGTCTCTGTGGGTCTCTATGTATCTCTACGTGTCTCTATGTATCTCTATGTGTCTCTATGTCGGGAGGAAGGACGTGGGGGGTAGCCACAATTGTGAAAGGGGCCCCGTAACACGAACCCAAAGATACAGATCCCCGTATAACCTTAACAGACTGTTGGGGCAAGTGCTGTTAGCGAACAGCACCTATGAAGACCGGCCACGGTACACGAGGGGGTGGGGTGGCCACCACCACGCCCGACCGCCTTTGTCTCCCTAGTGGCGATGTTTACACACTGTACCAGGTACACATTTTGAGGCTGAGTCGACCTAAGGGAGGCCCAGGACCGGTTCAATTAATCGTCACTGGTGAGCGGGAATCGAACTTCGGTCACCGGGTTCGTAGCGCAGAACGCGAACCACTTCGCCACCGCTCGCCACTACGCCACGTATGTATGTTGAACTTCTTTTGCACCGTACGTAGCCAACCGTGCTAATCGGAGGTGTACCACACGCACACACACACATACGAAGACACAACCGCAAACACCCCCCCCCCCGAGAGGGCCACGTAATGTGGAGCGGATTCCACTGGAGCCAGGGAATCGGCACCGCCAGCTGCCGGCTCAATCCCCTTTTATCCCTCCACGCATCATCACTTTGATTTCACACAAACCGCTCCGTGTACACGCATTGACACGCGCAAGTGTTGCTGGACACAAGCGCGCCAACCCACATCGACACGCGTGCACGAGGCGAGACAGAGGTCGTCTTGTTTTCGCTCGGGGTGTTTTTTTTCGCGAGTCTCCTCCAGTTTTGGGGGTCGGTCTCGAGGCATCCGTGAGCCTCCTCCCTCCCCCCTCCACCTGTCGAGGCTCGCGGCGCCGTTGCGGTGGTGGCACCAAATCCACAGAGCCACGAGCGGGGACCAGGGGTCGCAACCGGGTACCCGATACCCGTACCCTACCCGATACTCGGCTACCTGTACCCAGCCGGCTACCCGTTTGCGACCCTGGTGCGGCCGGGTACGGGTACGGGTAGGCCGTGAGTCACTGGTGAGTAACCGTTTTATCACTCATTTGCGAGCCTGGTGCAGCCGGGTACGGGTACGGGTAAGGAATCAAAACCCGTTTGCGACCTCTGGCGGGGACCCGCTTTTATTTAGCTCACTCTGTCTGTTGTTGTCGTCGTTGTCGTTGTATCCTCAAATCTTGTAAGTCAATTTTAACCCCACTTCCCAATGTGGTATCGACTGCAAACTTGGTATACTTAGGGGCCGTCCATAAATGACGTCACGCGATTTTGGACGATTTTTGACTCCCTTCGTCACACGACGTCACAAAAAGGCAGACCCCCCCCACTCAAATATGACGTCACAAAGCTCTGCACCCCCCCGAACAAAATAAAACTTGCTTCAAATCGCTTTAAACTATTGTCATTGTAGTGCGTATTTAATGTGGCGCTGCACTCTGATGTTGTAGGAGAAAACATTTAACAAATTCCTGTGGAGGGAGCTGGTAGGAACGTTGGGTTGCTCGGTCAATGGCCAGGGTCAATGGCGGCGTGGTGTATTCCGCAAATATGCCCGCCTGTGAGGGCGGGCACAAGCCGGCGTGAGTAGGTTAAACGTTGAGTTTTATAAGGGCACCACGGGGTGACCAGCCCCTCCCCACCCAGTCCCACCACCCCCACCCTCCCCAGCGTACTACACTTAAGAGCCCGGTTTG